CAGCAGGCTATTATGAATTGGCACAAGTAAGTAGTAAATACAGTCACAGCTAAACCTTTGTGAAGCACTGGCTAAGGGGCTTCTTTGGTAGCTATTCCAATTAGAATACTTTTTTATAATCTAAGCAGAACACCAGTTATACAGTTTATTGTGGCCTTACAGTTATTGTTTGCCTTTTTAATGGGAAATCCTGTCATATATGCCTTTATGTTTAAAGAACTTGTCTGAAGGATGTCTCTTGTTGTTTATGATGTATCTACTTTTCTGGCATTGTTACAGATGCAGGCAAGCTGTTCTGCTAAGCAGACATTGCAAAAGTATCTAAAATAACAGTAAAATCAAACTCTGCAAGCGATTACCTTCTCAAAAATGGTGTTTCATTCACTCAATCGTGTTTTGGGTTTTTTTACATTCACATCTGCATCAATAGTGCATTAATCTATGTTAATTTTTGGCTTTCATATTTGTGTATCTAAGGGTAGATTTTCTGCTTCTTTGAAGTGTTGAGATGATGGTTCTCAGAATGGGGCCAGCTTCATGTTTTGGTGCCAGTCAAGAGTACAGGGAGAAAACTGTTTACCTGTAAGGTTGACCCCATGTGTATTGTGGTCATTAATGCAAATTGACAATTTCTCTGCTGTCATTCTGTCCAGTGAATTGCCCTGTGACTTTTGAATATGTCAGTCTTGAGCTGTTAATGCTGATTTTAGCAGATGTGAACAAATGTAGCAAAACAGCATTTCATGAGGCAGAGCACAGCGAAGATAGTAAATATCAATGGTCCTGGGGAGTTCCATTGTGCTTCACTATTGGGGGTTCTGCTGCAAGGGGGTGGCATGGCTGGTTGGGGAATCGTGCTCACAAGCTCCACTGAACTAAAACTAAACTGCTGATGTTCCAATTTATTCATGAAAGTGAACTTTTTTCTCTAGGTGCTACTGGCAATGCATGCCAATGTTGAAGATCGAGGGAATAAAGGAGACATAACTCCCTTAATGGCAGCTGCCAGTGGAGGCTATGTAGATATTGTTAAACTTCTCCTTGTTCACTGTGCAGATGTCAACGCACAGTCTTCAACAGGTAACTGGGCATCAGGAACACAAAGAATTAGTGAGACTGACACATAAGATATGCAGCTCTTCTGAAAATCTGTGGGTTTGTCTGATATTTTCAATCACAAGAAAACATGATGGGAAGTTTTCAGAATAGGCCAGATACGTAGTAGATGTGTTTAGAGTCTTACCTGTCCATTATTAAATATTATTTTTAGTATAAACTATAATGTAAAACCTATGAAAACCACTGTGGTGTTAGATGACCAGAAAAATTAATGAAGTTTTTTTCCTCACTGGTATAATCCAAAATTACCCAGTAAGACCATGGGACACACCTGGTCAAGACCAGTTATTTCAGTCTATTGCTTTTTACCAAAGAAGTACAGTTTTTTGAGCATTGAATGTTGTCTACATTGCTGATGCTTGGCCACAGCTTAACTAATCTTGCTGAGAGTATTAACCTGCAGTTGGATTCTGCTAATATTAAGATAGAATTTAAACTTTGTTAAAATTTTTAAAAAGTTGAGTGTCTGAACTATGGAATGTTCTTTTTATCTTTGTTTACCCATATTAAGCAGAACTTAACCTTAAAACTAACTATGATATTTAAAACATGAGCCATATGTGATTGTTTATCACTTACAGTACCAGAGTTCGAAATAATACATTTATTTTCATTCAGCTAGTAGAAGTTTTTCAAGGGATTACAGGATACAAAAACCCAAACATCCCACCTTATCTTCCCTGCCCAAGCTCTACAATGAGTATGAAAATTACTTATTGATCTTTGTGTGTGTGTTTGATCTCTTTGTATGCTGAAGAAGGAAATATAATAATGAAAGAAAAAATATTCTAGTTTATAATATTGGCTTAGCATTAAAACTCTGTCACATTATAGTTGTGTTGGGAGTTTACACCAAGCCTGAAGCTGTTGGCTGAAGTAACATTGCTGTGAGGTTGAAGTCTGCTGCTAGTGATGTACTTGGTTTTGTTCAGAGCTGTTGAAAACAATTTCCTTTCCTGTATTAGGTGTGGGTGGTGGAAGGGGCTTTCATGTCAACTTTTCTTCTCTGCAGGGAACACAGCTCTCACTTATGCTTGTGCTGGGGGCTTTGTTGACATAGTGAAGGTGCTATTGAAAGCTGGTGCTAATATAGAAGATCACAATGAGAATGGGCATACCCCCTTAATGGAAGCAGCCAGTGCAGGTCATGTTGAGGTTGCAAGAGTATTGCTGGAATATGGTGCAGGAATCAACACTCACTCCAACGAGTTCAAAGAAAGTGCACTTACACTTGCATGCTATAAAGGTATTGTCTCTTGCCTTGTTTTGTATTTTTGTTTTAATTTATTTGCTAGGATTTATCTAACTGAAGCTTCCAGCCATAGTTTGAATACTTTATGAAGAGTTTTGGAATACTGGATTTTGGTTTTAAACTTGACATCAGGAAATGCTGGTGTAGTGATATTAAGCCTGTCTACTTGTGATCAAATGTGGTGGACCTGCCTTTGACATGTTACAGATGAAAACTTGTGACTGACTGCATCCAAACACGTGTTTTGACACATCACCACTCTCCTCTTCCCCCACTACTGCATTCCCTATTTCATTTGGATTCCCCTCACCAACTATCTGCAAGTTATGAAAACTTCTCTGGTAGTTGTTGGGAAACAGTTAGAAGGAATCCTCCTGGAATACCCAATGGGGTGAAAATGCTAGTATTGTTACTGGATACTTTTCTTTCAGTGTAATTTTGGAGGGTGTCTATGAATTGTTATGTTTTATGAACTTGTATGGACTTATGGCTTAATTTCCTTTGCTATTTATATAGAAAGTAACTTAATGCAATGGTAATGCAGTGTTCTTTCAAGATAAAATTTCTTAAAATTGTTTTTCTCCTATTAGGAGCTTTAATGATGTGGTTTATTGTCATAGTGACTTCAGGTTTTGCCTCTGTGGTTAGAATTGGAAGCTACATACAACGTATAACCCATCTGAACCCTTGGATCTGGATTTGTCATGGGTGTCTTGCAGCATGTAGTAGTTCCTGACAGAGAAATGTCAGCAGTAGTACTCCTGGATATGTTTGAGGGGCATTCTTGTTTCCTGTGATCTAAAACTTAATAGACTTATGTAATGTAAGATTTTCATTGACTAGAGATTTCCTGTAATATATTTGGCAAGATGGTTGGGGTACTGTGTCTTCCTGTCAGTTTATTTATAACTACGTTTTGTCTTGGAGGAGGATGCTCAATGTGTCATTTTTAACAGACAAATTCTAAAATCATAGAATTAATAACTATGTAGTGTGTCACTATACAGTTGAATAAGCATAGTCTTTTATAGCTTGATCTCCCAAGGAAAGGTTCCTGTTGTGTAAAGCTGGATTAGAGAGGTCTGACTTCATTCCATTGCTGGGCAGTATCTTTGGGAAGGACCACCTGATGTCTGGCTGCCCATTTCGCATTGGTATTTCTTTAGTCTACTTCAAAAAGAGCAGGTTTGCAAATTGTAACCTGCAAAAATGGTACTAGCAAACTATGTACATCTAAATTATTTCATTAAGAATATTGTCTGTAATACTAAAAGTTTATGATAGTACATGCTTAATTATTTTGATCTGTTTGATTTGAAGGCCATTTAGATATGGTTCGTTTTTTGCTTGAAGCCGGAGCTGATCAAGAACATAAAACAGATGAGATGCACACAGCGCTAATGGAGGCCTGCATGGTAAAAAGCCTTTATTTGTCCTCACTTTTCAATGAGAGAGGAATAAAAGAGGTTATAAAAAGTGAGCCTTTGTTAACAGGCTGCTGGGTCTGCCAGTGATGATGTGTTTTTATTGTAAGAAAGCCTTTACTGTAGTTACAAAGGGTGGTCAGCTTCTCAGTCTAATTCATCTTAGGGAAAAAATATTCTAATTTTGGGGGGTGTGATGTGTTGTTTTAAATGCTCCCTATGTGAAGTGTAGGTGTCAACTGATCTGCAGTGCAGGAAAGTTAACAGGTTAAATCAAATCACTTATTTCTTCTGTAGTGTTAGAGTTAGTTCTTCACCTTTGTCTTTATAAATAAGGTCTCTCAGATCATCATGGTATGAGCCTTCTGGAAGTGCACAGAGTTGAGTGACTACACTTTTCCTTTCACCACTGCAGGAAGTGTGTTGCAAGTAGAAATGGTTTGCTTGCTTCTAGGTTTCTATGAACAGTGCTGTGAAGTTGTTATTGTTTGTTTTTTTAAAAATAAAATGGTATGCCAGAAGTAGTTTGGATTTTAGTCCTTGGGAAACTCATATAATTTCAAAGTAGCCATTGAGGAGGAACTTCCCTTTCCAATAATTTAATCTTAATAAGGAGTGTGCTGTAGTGTCAAAGCATATCTGCAACCATTTTTGTCCAGACCTTAGGTGACCTTTTGTCTATTCTTCGAGCTGGGGAACTTCTTTGAAGAAAGAACAGGGACCTTGTTTTCATAGGAAGAACAGCAAATGGAGGAAAACTTAATTTGCTCCCTGAAGCCTGTAAAGCTTTAAAGCTGTAAAGCCTTAGAAGACAGGGTGCAATGTTCCTCCAGTCTTCTGAGAGCTGGAGGATCAAGTGTTCTTTCATTGCAGTGGTGAGGTGATGATGCAAGTGACCAAGGTCAGATTAGAACATCTCAAGCTGTGTCAGAGTCTTCCGATAGTGTGATGGTAATAGTAGCCTTGAATAGTCATCCCTATATGACAGTCTAGTGCCAATAAGGAACTCAGAAGGACACAGTTGCAGTGGGTGTGTGCTGTTACCTAAGGGAGATTGCAGCATGACTAAATATTTTGATCAGGCCACTGCTCTGTTGAGGCTTAGTCTTTTTTTTTCTTTTTTTTTCCTTCAGTTTAGCTTTTCTTTTTTTTCTTTCATGGTGATGCAACCTGAGCACTGGGTTGTTGTGGAGACTGTGAAGTCTCTCATTTGGGGAAGATAAGTTGTGTGGGTTGCCTGCATGTTTTTAGCTCTTGGATGTTTCAGACTAGTTTGCATTACAAAGTGTGCATTGACCTTTAGAAGCAACAGAGGGGAAATTGATCCTTCAAAGTCCCAAGTCAAATGATGCAGTTTATTCCTTGTTATCCTTTGGCTGCACCCTTGCAGAAGGGAACCATCCCACCAAATTATTGTGACTTTTCCAAGCTTTCACTGTTTTCTATCTAATGAACACTGCAAATACAGGAAGCTGAGGTGTCAGTTCACCGACTATATTGTAAGTGCCTTTGAATTTTAGTATGTTTTGGTCAAGATGGAGTGCCATGCCTGGGATAATGCATTTAGTTAGATGAGGTGGTTCTTGGGCTTTAGCCAGCTTCTCTGAGAACGGCAGCCTGTCTCATTTACAGACTTGATTGCTGTGCATCTTATTCACTGTCTTCCTCCTTTGTGGTCAACTAAAGTGTTGGCAGGAGATGTGTGTTCAGTAAGCTCTCTTGCCCTCCTTTTTTATACCTCTGTATTACTGGCTGACAATTGCGGTGACACCAGAACAGGGAACTGGTAGTGTGTTTGAGGTTGCTGTTCTTAATGCAAAATTCTTTGATTTTGGGAATTAGTGGAATTCATAGCTTTATAACTTAATACATCACCCGTGAGCATCAGTGCCCTAGCCTGGACAGCTCTGGCTTGAAGCTTGGGCAGAGAGGTCTTCTAATGTCTTTTTTTGCCCTTTAGTGTTGCCTGACTTTATTTAGATTTCCTTCTAAGGATGCAACATAAGAGCATCTGATATTTCCCACTGAAACTGGCCTTTTCGAAGGAATAAATATTCTTTAGTTCTCCAGCAAAATCTGTCAGCATGCATTTGGGCTAGCTTAAAGAATTAATCCAATTTAGCTGTCAAATCCCAGGAGAACCTCTGTGTCAGGATACTGGGCTCTAAACCATCAAAGCTGTCTGACACTTTACTTGTCCTGGAAGAACTGCATGTTTCTTTGGATGACAGCTGTGTTACTATGATTCAAATGTAGGGTTAAGGGAGTGATCAAAAGAAATTGTGGTAGCTGGGGAGAGACTGAACATATGAAGAAAGTGGGGCAAGATGTTATTTACTAAAGTTATTACTTTTTTATTGTTCTGTTGTTCAGGTAGTTAAATAAAAACATGCAGTTGGCTAGCTAGATGCTCACAAGTGTAACCTCTGAGCAAAAGAAGGCAAGCTCTCACTGCAGGTCCACCTATGCCTCCTATGACATTCAATTAATTGCTTAAAAATGGCAAAGGTCTGCTCCATGGAGATATTTGCATAGTGCTTTGCATAACCATTACCATACAAATAAATTATATGGGCAGCATGATATCCAGCTACTTCTGATTACATAGCCTCAATCATGTGCTGTCAATTCTGGGAGCAGCCTCTAACATGTCCTTAGAACTCTGGCTAGTGTTGACCATTGCCATCAGGTGTATACATTCCTCTGATGTAGCATGTGGCTGTCATTTCTCGTTGCTGTGACTACAGAGCAAAGCTAAACCACCCAAACTGGAGGTGATGATCATTCACCTTCCTACACTGTGTCTGGTCAGTTAAAATAACAGCTGTTTTATTTCTTAGGGGCAAACATAAATGCACAGACAGAGGAAACACAAGAAACAGCTCTTACTCTGGCATGCTGTGGAGGGTTTTCTGAAGTAGCTGACTTCCTTATTAAGGCAGGAGCTGATATAGAACTTGGTTGCTCAACACCTTTGATGGAAGCTGCTCAAGAGGGTCATCTTGAATTGGTGAAATACTTGCTGGCAGCAGGTATGTGTACAGTGCAAATGATCTAGCCCACAGATACTACAAACTCATTGTTCTATGTGATTTAGAAGATACCTGGGCTTGATAGTAGCAGTGTTGTAACAAGAAACTGTATTCTCTCATTTTTGTAAGAAGGAAAAAAAAAAAGCTATACAGTAATGTTGCTTAATACTGTTAACAGCACTGTATTCTGTTATCTAAATACTCACTAGGAACATTATTTCCCACTAACTGCATTTGGAACAGAATGTTAATGCAAATAATGCTTGTTTTTATATGCTATACCTGCTTTGACTGGGCCTGATTATCTGCAGTCAGTCTCCCTGAATAACCAGTACTTTAGGAATTGTGCCCTGGGAAATAGTGTGCAAGACAGATTCTAGAATGTGCTTATTTCTGTGATGAATGTGTTTTGCTACTACATTAGACAGTAGTAAAAATGAAATCTTGCTGGAGTTAGGGAAAAATGACACTTCAATGTCCATCTGTCAGTTTAAAGTTGGTAGAGACTGAAGTGTAGTAATACTGCTTAAAACAGTAAATTAAAAGGAGCCGCATTTTAGAAATCTTCCTTGTTATGGGAGGTGATTTATTTGTATGCTCTTTTCTAAGAATAAACATAAAATTGTCTGGATTTGTAATTCTAGAAAGTAATCCTCCCTGCTCATCGAGGGACAGTGACAACTGTGTCTCTTCGTGCAGTGATACCAGCATGTGGCACCTGTTGCCAGCTCCCTTGGAACGCTGCCTGCACTTCACTTGTGATAGTGTAGAAAGTTAATTGAGGAGCCTTGTGTTAGCATCAGGGAGTCTCTAAATATATCTCACACCTTGAAAATAAGAAAATGGCTCATCACATTGGCATTTTTGAGGAGGAATAATGTGTTACACAGCAAGAACCACACATTGGTTTTGTGTAGCTGGCATATATTAAACTAGTCAAATTGTTACAATAAAATGGTTTTAAAGCAAAATATTTTAAAGAACAGAGAAGAAATGAAATTTGTAAAATTAATACTAATTCAATAACATGTATTTTGTCTGGTTTTCCTGGTCATGCAGCTGTGTCAAAGCAATAGTCTAGACAGTTGTCTGGACTCACTTGTATTTGTTGTAACTACTGAAATCTTCATTGCTGTAGATGGACCATAGGAATGAGTGAGCATATAGGTTAAAGTGCTTAGATTGCCAGTCATCCTTTTACCAAGCCTTGTCTTACCCCTCAGTGTATTTTTACCTCAAGAGCAATTTTTACCATGAGAGCAATGCCCTTGGGCTATGGGAGCTGTTGGTCAGTAGGGTATAGCTGTTGGTCAGTAGGGTATAGCTGTTGTCACAGATCAAGTACATTGATTTTTGTGTTTCTATGATATTACATACTTGATAAGGAGATGTCCAATAATGAAAAAATAATGTTGTGTTTCTAGGAGCTAATGTTCATGCCACCACAGCAACAGGAGATACAGCTTTGACCTATGCCTGTGAAAATGGACACACTGATGTTGCAGATGTGTTGCTTCAAGCTGGTGCTGATTTGGTAAGACTTTGTACGCCAAGCTTATATGCTTATAAAACAGGAAGGTTATTTTAATACTTGGGATTCATATATAGGTGTGAAAAGAGGCATGAAAGAAACTTTTTAGAAAGCCTGCGTGTTCTATTTGCTCTAAAAATAAAAATTCTTATTGGATAATCTTTAATCTGTTAAGTGAAAACTTTTAACTGTAGCTTACACTTGTGACAGTTGATTATCTGCATTTCAGTATAATCCATAAGTTTAATTATTTAGCAGGATATATTTCTGTGTTATCTTTATTCACTATGCTACTTTATTATTCCCAGACTCTGGTGTATTAGAGTTTACCTGCTCTGCTGATCTGAATTTAAAATGTTTTAGTATTAGGTGCTACTACTTCTCTATTCTAGTGTTAATTTCTGATCACAGTGAGTCTCTTTTTAAAACTGTAGGAAAAAACTCCAAACAACCACACCAAACTAATAATGCCTTTTAGATGACCAGCATAATATAATCTCTTTTCTTTGTTCCAGAACTATTTTCTTTCTTGTAGTTCTTGGTTTTAGCGTATTACTTTCATAGTGTTTACTTTTGCTTTGCATTTAATCATAACAAACTTGTATATGTAACTATCAACTATTTTCTTACTGTATATTGGGAGAGGTTAAACTGCCTCTTCATCAGCTGCAGGGATACAATGTGTGCCTGGCTTTTAAGCTGTAAAAAGGGGTTTAAGAGCGTTATGTCTAATAAGGCATGAGCAACAAAGATTGTTCTTTTGGTTGCCTTTTGTTTTTTTCTCCCACAGTTCTCCTTTCTTTTTCCACACTCTCTGCTTGTGTGTATATATTTTTCTTTTTTTATTTGGGAAGGGGGTTGGGATTTAGGTTGAATATTTTAGGGTTTTTTTGTCCATTTTAAATAACAAGAATGCCAGAAAAGTTTATCATTGAAACTGATAAATCAGCATTCTAATGAAGTTACTTCAATCTCAACGCTAAATGAAGTATTTTATTTTTTTAGTTTATATTTGCAAATATAAATAAATGTTATAATTGTGAATTCCACTCTTTGTGAATACTCTTTTTTTCATGCGTTGTTAATTCTTCTGCAGTAAGGTTCTGCTTCATATATTCCTCCCAGGGAAGAAGGCCATGTTAATAGGGAGGTGTGTGTGGATTTTTGTGCACCTGCTCTTTGTTTAATTCAGTGTTGGATACAGAGCCTCACCCACTCTAGTAGAGGCAGGAGAGGTTTTTGAAGTTGTATTGGGTATTTATAAGCAATATTTCAGTACTTATTTATAAAAAGATATAATCAAGAAGTATCTCAAAGTGAGGAGCAAAGCCTGATACAAAAAAATACAAATTCCCATGCATAAGCTTTTCATAGCATGCAAGGATGCTGGCTAAAAGTCACTTCAAATTACTAGAGTTGTGTCATTTTTATGTTTTGCTCCCATCACTAAGGTGAGCTGTGCTTTGGTGCCTTCAGCATCTAGTTCTGATCAGTACTGCTGAGAAAAATCTTACGCCTTTCAAAGATTTGACTGTACTGCATTTTCTTGTACTGCCAAACAAAATGTGGAAGCTGTCAAGAAAAAACATAGGAAGGAAGCAAAGGAAAATGGCACGTGAAAGGGAGACCTGCTGTTTTCATCTACTAGTTTTGAATTCTGGTCCTAAGTAAACGGGGAAATGGCTCCAAAACTGCAGTGATGCTATGGCAGGTGCCTCAGGTTTGGAGCAGCTTCTTTTCAAACCTGTGTGTTGCTTTGCTTTATTAGAAGTTGTAAGTTGGTTTGGATACATTGTTATCATTATAATTGTACTGAGGAAGGTTTCTGAAGTGTGTTGCCTTAGTGCTGTATTATGAAAAAGCTTCATTGGCAATACTGTGGGAGATTATTCTTCTAGATTTCAATTGTCATTAGTAATTTTAATGAGGTTAGTTGATTTCACCATGTTGTCCCAGGTAATCTGGGTGGAGTAGGGAACCAAATGCAGATCTGGACTTCGACCTCTCGTTGGTCTATCTTCATTTGTCTTTAGTTCAGTTTGCCCTCCTTCTGGTGTTCAGACACAGCAAGTGAACATGCATCTCCAGTTTCTTTCCTGTTTCATCCTGCAACTTCAGTCTTTCCTGGGATTGCTTTCACTGATATTGAATTGTTTTCAAGAAACCTTCTTTGTTCCTGAGGTTTATATCAGTCACTGAGGAGTTGGACAATACAACATCTTTCACTGTTGCGAACTGGTCCTTTTTGAGGAAAACACCGGTTATGTCTTAAACAGTAAAATAAAACAGGTCTGTGAGTTTGCTCTGATTGCAAGGAAAAATGGCACTCACTGAGCACATCCATGCTGTGCCTCTGTGTCTGCAAGAATATCAGTGGTTGCATGTCAGCCAACCAGAGGGGGGTTTTCCTAAAACAATACTGCGAGCATACACTGGGACATCTCTGGGTTGTGGGATGAGGTCTTCAAGCAGTTCTTGAGGGTGTGAGGCCTCAGAGATAATTGGAGACTTACTTAATATCAAATTTTCCAAGCTGCCCATTTGGAACAGTCCCTGATGACCTCCTCACCTGTGATTCTTGACAGGGCCAGTATTATGCCAGGGAGGCTGCAAAGGAATGAGCAGTTTGACTGATCAGTGATCCCATGCCTAAACTTGTCCCCTGACCCAGTTTTATTTACTTGTAGAGATGTAGCCAGTGCTAGATTTTGCTGTTGTTACTTGATTGTTTTGTGAGCCACCTGCATATTCTATTTTCTTCCAGATCAGGAAAGTGAGGAATGTGTTTTTTGAGGGTTTTTCTTCTCCAATTCTAGAATGAGGAAATAAAGTTGATCTTTCTTCCCCAAATGCTCTTGAGTTAAAGAAATTATAAAACACTGGCTGTTAAGTTTTGTTGCAGTCAGTTCTCCCATTTCTTCCCCAGCTCAGAGCCTTAATTCCATAATTTGGAAAGCATATAATCTGCTTTAAGACCTCAAATCTTTCTTAGCTTTTCAGGTTTCTCTTCAGTTGCCAAGAGGTCAGGACTGAGTAGGATTTGAGTTGCAGCCTTTGAGACAGCAGGTGTGAAGAGGAACCTCTTTCATGCTGGGCTAGCCAGGTTGGAAGAGGGCAGGAGATGTTTCTCCCGAGGAGAGCATGTTCTGTGTTTTGTGCTTTGAAAATCAAAGTCTTCCAACTTGGCTCAAGTTAACCCTGCTCATTCTAGTGAACTGATTCTTATGTGTTGTTTGTGTCTGGTTGATGTTTTCTCTATCTCAAAATAGAACGTTGAGCTCAACTATGAGCATGATTTATGGTTGTGAGACACTGCAGCAGGTTGCCCAGAGGAGTTGTGGATGCCCCCTCCTTGGAGAAGTTCAAGGTCAGGTTGGATGGGACTTCCGAGCAAGCTGATCAACCTGATCTAGTGGAAGATGGCTTTGCCCATGGCATGGTGGTGGAATAGGTGGTCTTTCAAGGCCTCATCCAACCCAAACCATTCTATAATTATCTCTAGTCCCCAGCAGAGTATTGTCTGAGCTGGGAGTGATTATTACCACCACATCTCAGGACAAAAAGGCTGTTGTTTTTGGATCTCTAGCTTTTCAGGTACTGATCTTCTGGCCTAGATATCCAATATAATTCAGAAGTTCAAGAACCAATTAAGCTTTTGACCTCTGTTAGACTTATTAAGGAATGTGGCTTTATAAGAACCAGGAGAACTAGAAGAAAATGATGGCTGAGATTAGCTTTCTTCAGCTAGTGGTTAGTTTTTCCTTAAATCTCTGCAGTGGCAACTTAGACTAGAAGTAAACAGTATTGGAGTACATGCTCATCTGTTTCTTTCTGCTGGAGAGCTGCTCAATCATATCTCCTTGTGACTAACAATTAATGAAGTCTGGCTTGTTTCCAGTTATTCTGTTACTTTTCTGATACCCTTCGTCTAGGAGTTTGTCTTCTCCATGTCCTTACAGGGCCACAGCTGGCCTGTCAAAATCTGTAGCAAAAGAAGCTTGGCAGGCATACACGTTTCCTTGTTATGTATGCATTTTGAAATTGCCTGTCTTCTGCCAGGTGTATGGATGGTAGTATGAGAGGCACATCTGAACCCTTCAGTTTGTGATCCTGTCTGGGCTTTAGCTGCATTTCTAGTTTCTTCATCACCTGAGGACCAGAGGTTTCCAGGGTCTGGGTCTGAGCTCCTGCCACTTTACTGAATGTAAATTTTACCTGTTTACAAAATTATTTATGGGGACAAAATGCCTACTTTAGGAGTGACATTTTGGAGGTTAGAACTCTGAAATATGAATTGATGAAAAAAAAATTTCTAAGCAGTGGGCTGGTTTAATTGCTTCAGGAAAAATAACCAGCACTTCAGTCATACAGTTACTGACCTGTGTGGCAAGGATTCGTCTTCTCTCAAAGGTGAGAGGAGACTTCTGGTTTTCCAGTAGGCTTGCTCTTTGTTCTTGGCTTTTGTTTTGTGTTTTTCCCCTTCTTATTTATGTCTTTACTATCAGTTACCTTCATCTCAAATGTTGTATAAGGTAAGACAGGCATGGTGTGTGTGCATTCCCAGAGGAACTAGGATAAGGACTGTACAGCTCACAAAAGACTGCTGGTGATTTTTAATGGGAGCTAATACCCTGTTTTAAAGCTGTGTACCTTTCTCTAAACTAAAAGCGTCTTTTTGGATATATGTTCTCTTTAAAAGTGGAATCAGACTTGCATGAAATGCTGCATACTGGAGATTCCAGTCCCCCTTTGGAAAGCAAGACTGCTCTTGACAAAGTGGTTCCATCTTGGCCTGTTTCAGTGTAGCTGAAAACAGAAGAGAGAGTGTTGGTTTTTTGGACAGCAAGAAGATCCCAGTTTTCCAAAGATGAGAAGTACAGAAAATAATGTTAAATTTGAATTTCTAATCTGGTCTGCCTTGCAGCTGTATGTGAGGCTCTGTTGCACAGGAGAGTTGATCTAGTGATGGAGTTTACCTTTCTTCTACAAGATATATGGGTGCTTTTGTGCTGAGATTGGGAGATGGAAGAGAACCCCTGAGGTTCATCCTTGCATTCTTTTCATTTTACTCTCTCAAGCTCTCCCTAAAGCTCTTTTTACTTATTAAAATTCCATGCCTGGCTTTCCTTGAAAGACTAAAACTGCCTACCTGGCATCCACATACCTCTAATTGCCAAAAAAAAAAATAAAAAAATAAAGGTGTGCCAAACTACCCTATGACAAAATATTTTTACAGACAGGTGTTTTTATCATTGGAGGGATCATTTGGTTGGCTTTGGTTGATGACATCCCTTATAGTGATGTGGCTTATTAATTAGAAATTTTGTCCTTGACATGACACACTGGGTGTTTGCAGCATGAATAAGGCAGCATTTAAACATTTGCAAAAGTAGCCAGTATGTTACGGATTTGAATGAAAGAAAACAGTGGTGTGATGATAGCTATGTTGTCACAGTGAGAGATCTGAGAAGCTGTCATGTTTCTCCATACTGTTTCTTGAACCATCAGGGGAAGTTCAGGGATTTCAGATCTTCTTAGATTTGGCCCTGAGTGTTCTACTGGTAAAGCAAAAGGTTGTAGGAAATACCTTATTTTTGTAGTTGAAGCCTTTTGGATGTTGTGTTGCAGTCTCTGGATGGTGCAAAGTACTATGAAATCCTCTCTTGCCAGTAGTGAAAAAAGTAATCTTGTGTTTAACAAGATGCTGTATTGACCTTTGTGCTATCTTCGTGAACCTGGATGACTCATGGTGAGAGCAGCATTGCTTAGTCTTACCTTTGAGCTTGCTTGCCTAACTCCAGCAAAACAGTTTTTTCAGCTGGTGAATCTGATCTATTTAAGTTCACATTCCAGGTCTTCATGACCAAGAACAACATTTATGTGTAGAACAAGAGCCGTGAGTACTTCTTTTTCCTTCCGCAGGACAAGCAGGAGGACTTAAAGAAGACTATTTTGGAGGGCATAGAGCCGGGCAAGCATCAGGTGAGGTTGGCCTTTGATGCTTGTAAGCTGCAGCCACAGGATACATGCTAATGACAAACATGGCTTTAAGGCATCTAAATTTCTTAAAAAATAAAAAGTCTCACTGTGTAGACTTGACACGTCATCTTTGTCCTCCCATTTTCCCTTCCATCGGGTTTTCTAAAACCCTGTTTTTAAAAACCAGTTTCTCAGTGTTCACAAAAGAAACAAGTTACCTCCTTAAGTTTATTAGCACGAGTAGCTATGTTAAACCTGTTAGTACTTATCTAACTTCCTGTACTGTCTTCCCAGTCAGATATTTACTTTGAACTAGAGGGCTAGTTGAGTTTTTAGGTGCCTCTGATACACTGTTTTACTGCATATCTCAGGAGGTTATCTGGGACTGTTAGATGGGTGACTGCTAGAATACGGTATCCAGTTCTGGGCTTCCCAGTTCAAGAGGGACAGGGATCTACTGGAAAGAGTCAAATGGAAGCTACAAGAATGATGGAGGGACTGGAACACCTGCCTTATGAGGAAAGGCTGAGAGACCTGGGGCTTTTCAGTCTAGAGAGGAGAAGACTGAGAGGGGATCTAATTAATTAATGCCTCTAACTACATGAGGGCTGGGCCTCAAGAAGGCAGGGACAACCTCTTGTCACTTGTGCCCTGTGATAGGACGAGGGGAAATGGATTCAAACTTGAGCACAGGAAGTTCCACCTCAACATGAGGAAGAACTTCTCTTACTGTGAGGTTTACAGAGCCGTGGGACAGGCTGCCCAGAGAGGTTGTGGAGTCTCATATTCTGGAGACTTTCAAGACCTGTCTGCATGCCTTTCTGAGTGATCTGCTCTAGTTTTGGTCCTGCTCTGGCAGGGATTGGACTCAATGTTCTTTGGAGGTCACTTCCAACCCCTAACATTCTGTGATTCTTGATAAGTGTTCAGTCTTGAAAACTAGCTAAGTGGCATGCTGTTAACAACTGTATTGCTCCGTTCTTGTCTTGCATTAAAAAGTTTGTCTTTTAAATAACGTAGGACATTGGAAACAAACTAAAAAAAAAAAAAAAGCAACCCTAATGAATAAAACCTGCCAACCATGAATACATGTGAACCAAGGACAATCATGGGGGGAGGGCTTATGTAGTTGAGCTTGGAATTACTTAAAACAGAGAACTCAAAAATAAATGTCAATGGTTGTTGTAAGATGTTTCTGATGACACTGCTTTTGCTCTGCTCTCTGAAGCATTGATTTGTCTAGAAAATAAATAGTTATTGCTGACTGGATTCTCCTCTCCTTGAGTCCTAGTGGAAAAGGTGCAGATAATGTTAACTCTTACTAGATTTAGGTAATATTGTCACTTTCCCCTTCCTTCCTGTCTGGTACCCAAGTATACAGGAAATTCTTCTCAGACATTCTTTCTGTTCAAGCAGAATTTGCAAGAGAGCATATCACTCAAGTGTTAAGAAAATGTTTTCCTGGGCAAAGCTGGCATAGATGTTCTCCTTTCTACTGCTTTCTGATCATAATAACTGCAGTATTTCTCAGGATTGTAGCAGTGAATAGAGACAGAATAGTGTGGTGAGTCCTACAGTGCTGGGAAAATTCTTTTTGGATATGAGTACTCCTTGCTAGTTTTTGTTTTTACAGAAGAGGAATTTGCATGGACTTGCTATTAATACATTCCCCTAAAGCTTGAGTTGATGCTCTCTGTAGCCTTATTTAGTCCCTGTTGGGGGGGGGGGGGCTGTTAGGGGCTAAATAGAGTACTCAAGTCATGGAATTTATTTAGTCTTGAAAACACCCATTTCTGTCTTCTTGTTGAAAATGACCATCAAAATGCAGTAACTTTTGAAGATCTGTGACAGGTAGACTCACAAATGATTTAGTTTGGCTGGACTGGTATGTGTATGGTACTGCAAGTATCTGAATTGTATAATAGTGTATTTGAAGTGTATAATAGGATGAAGTTCTGCCTGCTTGATGAAGTGACAGTTGGTTAAACTGGGTAGAATAACTGCATTGTATTTAAATGAGGAAGCCTCCTGACATCTGTTTAAGACTTCAACAGTGAAGTCTACTAGGAATAAATAATGTTGCAGGTAATGGTACCTCACTGCTAGTTATCTGAGGTGTTATCTTGAATGCAATGTAGGATGGCTTTTTGCTATCTTGGATATACTGAGGGATGACCTAAAATAAATGTCACTATTGCAACAAAGGGGATTATTGAATAGTTTGGGAAGTATTGTTCTGGTCCTTCTTAGAGAGTGAAGTGGTGTTCAGCAATTCTTTGCATCCTCAATTGCTTTGTGAGTGCTTTGCTGGCAGTACCAGGTGTTCACTGTGCATAAGGCAAACATCAGCATCTGGCTTTTTATGATCTGTTGGCAGTAGCTGAGGAGGAAAAAACTGTTCCAAATAGCAGAGTAAGTATCAGAGCTCAAGGGCATACTACTAATTCTTGCATATCATAGGACCACATACTAACATAATTAGCTTTACATGGCCTGCAAATAATTTTGACGTGCAGATAATCCAAAAGTATGCATATAGATCTCAACAGCTAAGCAGTTGTTTGCCCAGGAAGTGGGATCTACTTATTAAAAAGAGAAAAAGAAAAGAGGTGACTACAGTAGTGAGTCTGTAAGGCTTCCTGTGTGTCTGTGTGCACATATGCCTTACACCACCGGGTAAGCAAAGAAATCAGAGCACTGATGTCGGATTTAAGAGTGTGTTAAAGCAGTGTGTACAATAGTACAAACCTCTTGGGAAGGCATGGGAGCAGAGTGTTGCTGCTCTTCCTAGAGCGTGTAGGACAGGGGTGGAGTGACCCCTGCTATAGCAAAGGATTATTTTCTGCATAGGATAAGTCTTCAGAAGAAGATCCAATCAAGAGAATTCTTCTTTGAGTGCATAAACAGAAACCTAACTTGAGATGCAGCTTGCAACCAAAGCAAGCCATATGTCAAGGGACATATGCAGGTGTTCAGGAATGCTGAAGCTATTGGAAGGAATTTCTTGTGTTCAGTCAAATCTATTCTTGTCCCTTTATATTTGTGAACAGCAGTATCATCCACTGTCACTGCCAGATAGACTTGCAATTCCAGGACTAAACAGTGAATTTAGAGCTGGGCTTCCCAGATACTTAATCAAACACGCTCCATATCCCCCTGTCCTAGTATATTATTGATCATTCTGAATATCCAGAGTGCAAATACGAACACTCCCAGGAACATCATGTTCTCTCTCCTTGTTGCTGTGGGACGGTTGATATGTATTAGTCAGCATTCTTTGTGGTATTGATCATGTCTACATAGCAGGCAAATTTTCTAGTTCTGTAACTTCTCTAATGCACTTGTATTCAACCACATACTTCCAATATTCAGAAACTTTTTGAATTAGAGAACTGTTCTTGCTCCTTCCTTTGTTGTTGGTTTGTATCATCCTTTTGTCAGCTTCGTACTTTATTCTCAAGTCCTTTTATTCAGAGACTTTTTGTGACCTGCATTGATTTGTTTCATTTTTTTTTGCTGGTCCTCTTCAACATCTGCTAAAAATGTCTGCACTTCAGACTTTATTGTAGTTTTAAAGATTCTCAGTGTTTCAGGACATGCTTCATGCAGCATGTGACAGGTCTCAGAACGGTTGCATGCCAGTTCTTAGTCATTTGTATAAATCCTGATGCTGGATGATATTTGTGCTAAATAGTTGTCCCTTTTTGAGGAGGAAACAAGATGTTACTGTTCTCAAGGATGTTATGCAGTTGAACACTAAAACAAAAAGGGGTGTGGCAGAAGGGAAACTTCCATGTTTGGGAAGAGTATGGATGTGGTCTTAAAGTTTCTTGACTGCGTGGTTCAGTGTTTAATGTAACAGGAAAATTTATTCCAGTTAGCTTGTAAGACAGATCTTCTGATGAGACAGGTAATTCTGATTCTGTCATGAGACGATTCAAAAGCTGAAACAATGCTATAATTTTTGCCTGTTTATGTCTTCTTTACAACAGGAGCATGAATCCGAAGGTGGGAGAACCCCACTAATGAAGGCTGCACGAGCTGGTCATTTATGCACTGTGCAATTCCTCATTAGCAAAGGTAAAATTCTAGTTTCAATAACTAATTAAAAAACATCAAATGCCACTTTACAATTCTGTCGGTTTGTGATCCTTCTTCAAAATGGATCTGGTTATGTGTGTATGAGCATTTGTCAAACCATTAAGGGTTTTGTGAATTTCATTTAGTTCATGATACAATGAATCACAAAATATTTTGCTCCTTTTCCTACTCTCATTGTATAGATTAATAAATAGATTTTCAGTACAGCAAGTATTTTCAGTTTCTTAAAAGGACTACCCCACACTTCAGAAAAAAGCACTTTCTGAAACTGTGGTGTGATACTGATAAGTGCTGAGAATGAAAATGTCAAAGTTGTGCTTTGTGCACCTGAAGTGTTCCTTCTCTCTTCCCATTTACAAGCCCCCTGAAACGTCATTGCTGCCTTGTCTTTACAAGATAAGGACAATGCTGTGCAGAAGTCTTCAATCATTAATAATCCCATGCTTTTACCCTAGAATTGTGCATGAATTAGGAAGATTAGCAAAGTTTATCTCTATTCCAGAAAAAAAGCTGTACTAGCTGTTACTTCCTTTTAAAAAGTTTCCTTGTGTTTAATTCTGAGATGTTCTTTCTTTAGGTGCCAACGTTAACAGGGCTACGGCTAATAATGACCACACGGTGGTGTCACTGGCGTGTGCAGGAGGCCACCTGGCAGTTGTTGAGCTCCTTCTGGCTCATGGGGCAGATCCTACTCATCGGCTCAAGGTATTCACTTAATGTGCATTTATCATAGGTACTGAAATAATTTATGTAATTGATTTAGTGAATTAGTAAATGTGTAATTTCAAATGGTCTAATTCATATTGTGCATGCTACACCAGGTAGCAAAATTCACCTTTTGGCTTTTTATTCCAAAATCTCATTTTAGGATGGCTCAACAATGCTTATTGAAGCCGCCAAGGGAGGCCATACAAACGTTGTGTCTTACTTGCTGGATTACCCAAACAATGTTTTGGCAGTTCCTGCAGCAGACTTGTCTCAGCTCACGCCTCCATCTCAGGATCACTCTCAGGTCAGGCATAAGACTTTTTTTTTAAGCATCATCATGAATGTTGCAAAGAAGCACTTCCTTAGTACTTAACTTCTGAAATTAATCTAGATGTGAATATATACAGTGGAAAGAATAATTAAAAAAAAGACTACACATTTGAAAATTGTAGAGAGGGAGAAAATGTCCTGAAGAGTGCAGGAACTCTCTTCCCTTTCTGCTCCTTTATGGGCTAGTCCCAAACCCAAAAGAACATGATTTTCTTGGTTGTGTTTGCTCAGTATTTTGTTTCAACAGTTTGAAATCCTTGTGACAGCACCTCTGAAATGTTATTGTAATACATTATGTAAATTTAGAATTCTGCAGGCTGGAGAGGCAGCTTTCCAGTGGAGGTAGTTGGTTAAAAGCCTGAAGATGTTAAGTTTCGCAGCATACACACCCTGGGATTTTGTTAAGAGAAACATAGTTTGTCATATTATCCACAATAAAGTAGCATGGGACAGATTACACCAGGAGCAAAGCATGCATAGCTTGGGAAGAGTGGAGTGGAGATCTGTTGTAGAAATTTATCCCTGTATCAGTGCTTCAAGATCTGGTCCATTCAAAAGGGTTATTTATCTGAGTGTGTGTCTGTGGCTTTGTTTTAAGGTTCCACGTGTACCGGTGCATACACTTGCTATGGTTGTACCTCCCCAAGAACCTGACAGAACCCCTCAAGAGAGCTCGCCACCTCCCTTGGGAGTGGTGAAAGGTTAGTATGTAGCCACCTGAAGAATATATGCAATTTGGGAACTGATAGGCTGGGGACAATTTTATTAGACTTTGTGCGTAGTATAGTCCACTCCATTAATTCTTGAGCACCTCTAATGAAGTGTAACTTAAAAGTATTTTATGTAGTGCATAGTTTTGGTTATCTTACTGTATTCTACAGTATAGTAATAACACTGGTTATTCTCCTTGTAATGTTTGGAAGAAAATAACTGTTGTAACTGCTGTAGTGCAGACTGATAAAAACATTAATAAACTCTAGGCGTGGTGTTAACTTTTGAATATTGTATATTGGTTGTTTAGAACAGTTGCAACTATATCCATGAACTTGATATATCAACTTTTTTCTGTTCCTACAGTAGCAGTGCAAACATGTCGGCATTGTAAAATGCCAGTGCAGATGTATTTACAGGAGAATTTTTCTTGTATTAATAGTAGTAATCTTATAAGTAGTCATAAAATCAGGGGGTTTGCTTTGAACATGGTTGGACTGATTGATTAGAACTATTTGCAGTCATTAAAAAAGCAAATTTAGCAGTTCATTTCCACCCATAGCTATTCTGTTACTAACTCTTCATGTCAGCTAAGTCAGCTCAGAAAGAGGATTAGGTTCTCAAGTGGAAAGTTACAAACTGAAGCTCCTACTGATCTGCAGTTTTGGACAGGGATATTAAAATATCAAAAGCTCTATTAGCTAGCTTAATTCTTTTATTCTGGAAGTGCTCAGTGCTTTCTAAAACAAACAAAAAACCCCAGAGACAAATGAAGAGAGAAAAAAAAATCTGTACGTAATGGTGTTTAAGCATGCAGCCACAACTGTCTCCAGGTATATATGCCACGTGTGTGACTTCTCAACTGCAGTTATTATATTATTTTCCAAGGATGTGAAACACTTGACATTTTGAATTTCATAAAAACGAGTATCAGAAAACTGAATAGCATATGCAACTTCTGGTTCAAATAAAACAGCAAAAAGCTATATATCAGCATGTGTGCCCTTAGTAATATTGCAAAGTGGGTTAGTCTTCTGGAAGTACAATTTATGTTGTATGGGAATCAATGAGATATTGATACTGACTTGGAAAACTAAAGTTATAAGCTTGTAAGTCTCATAATCAAGTCATGAAAAGCTGATGGTTGTAGTTTAAGAAGTAGTTCTCTTTAAAAAACCCCATAAACAACTTATTTTACATGTCAGCACATACTTTAGGCATGTTCTTAGCAGTACTCATGCTGTCAGAACTGGTACAGAGAGATCTAGTTCTCAGTATTTCAGGACACGCTTCATGCGTGTAAATGAAACAAATCTGCAATGTGTTGCAAGAGATGTAGCAATCCAGGATGTGCTGTTGGGCTGATGAAGCATTCTTGAAAGCTGTGTGTGCAAAGCTCTCGTGCTCTTGGACCTCTAGGGGGAAATGGTGTTTTTGTGATTAAACACTGTTGTGGTGGTACCAGCCTGCTACTTTAACTGTGATATCATTAGGACTCTGCTGAACTTTCATTCTTAACTTGTTATACACACATGGCTTTAATATACCAAACTTCTATTGTTAGACTTCTTGGGAGACAAGTGGCAAAGAGGGTGTGCATAAAGGTGTGTTTGTTGCTTCCATGGGTAGGGGGAAAGCAGTCTGAAGTTCTTAGTTCTGAAGTTTTTTTATAAACTCTACTTGGAGGAAGGAGAGGAGCACCTGACCTTCTTAACCTCAGCACAGGCTGGTTTCTAAGAACCTTTATTAGTTATGTAAGAAATGCAATATTAACAACTTGTTTGCTGACGAGTTCTTGGCAAGTCAAATGTAAAATTAGAATAGCCTTGTATGTTATTGTTAAGATTAACATATGGCCTGGCGTTTTTCAAGAGGAATTTATTCTCTAATTTCAGATTACATTATTATTTTTTAGTAAAGTAAGAACATGTATGGAATAACTGCCCTTTGAATAAATAATTTGGCAAAGGATTTAATATCAGTGTTTAGCAACTGAAAAGAGAAACATTTCAGAGCTGACAGTGACTCAGGTAAAGGTGATATATAAGGATGGTAGCCTCCACAAGAGCTGAAGAAAATTCAGGTGGAAGAAGAAGCAGAGCTATTTCATGAGACTGACCAGACCTCAACTCTTTTGTGCTTAGAAAGGACTGTTTTTTGTGCACTCTGATTAACATGTGTCTGTTGTGTCCATGTAAAAGTGAAATCCCAGTGAAGTTCAAATCTGTGCTTCCGTAGAGAGAGGCAAGAGATCCCTTCCTTGGTGTTTTGTGCTTACTGCTGCCCTTGTGTGAACATGGTCAGGATTGTTCAGCAGTAATTGTGATGCAGGAACTCAACACAGAGGGTCTTCTGACTTGACAAATCAAACGTGCTGTTCCTGCAGGGCCAGTTCCCCTCTTACTCTAAGGGCTGTAAAGAGCAGTGGCTGTGATGCAGCTCCAAGTGCTCCTGGGGCAAGGGAGTCTCAGTGCTCAGCACGTGAAATGGTTGAAAGAAATGCTGTTGGATTTCTTCAGGAAATCAGCTGGTGCTGATTACTGTTGCCGTTGATAATCTTGTCTAGTTTGAAGTGCAAGCTCATGTTTGCTAAGAGTGAGCTGTGAAGCTCCCAGCAGTGTTTGTGATTCTGCTATAGTCTTTTGCAGAGCCCTCTGGTGAGCACACTGCCTCAAGCCCATGGAATGTTTTTTGAACACTATTGAAAAACAACATTCTAGTGCAGCAAGGGGATGCTCAGGAAATCCATGGAGAACAGTAGGATTGTTTTCTTAGAACAGGCTGCTCAGGGAAGAGGTAGAGGCACCATCCCTGGAGGTGTTCAAAAAATGGGTGGAGGTGGTGTTTTGGGAGATGATTTAGTGGTTAGGGGCTGTAGGGTTGGACTTGATGATTTTGAAGGTCTTTTCCAACCTTGATGATGATTCTATGATTCTACAATTCTAGTTGAAATGTCTTAACTATTTAAGGTGTTTTTAAACATTTCAGAACTTAAAGTAGTCTATCTTTGGAGGCTGAGGTATCAGTTACATTTGAAGTTTTTCTCCAGATTTGTTTTACTTCATAGCTCATCTGAAATTGTCCTTATAAATGAACTAATTTGCCTTAACTGACTGCTTAAAACCTATCAACATACTGTCATTAGACTTTTTCACTGTTTTTTTTAAGTGTGCAGTAACTTGTAGCATTTCTTGTTTGTAGTGTATATTTTTTAGAATTCCACAAGGCTTAATAGACTTCAGTTATTCATGTAAAAGTTTCTGGCATCTGCCTTTGATCCCTAGGAAGGAAACCAGAGTTTCCTTAAAGTTGGGGAGGATTTTTGGAATCTGTAAGCTTTTTAAGTTGGACCTTCAATATATTGTATCCCCATGTATCCCTTTGCTAAGTCTTAACAGCTTGGAGAAAGGAGAGAAAAACAAACACCATGTAGCTTTAATAGCTACAATATTGAATAAATATTTTTTATTTTGATATCTGACGTCTGTGCTGGCAGAGATCTCGTGTGATTTAACTGAAGCAGGGGCCAGGTTAACTGTAGAACTAGAAAGATTATATAGTCCTCACTGAGGTGAAGGTGTTAAATCAGACTGAATTCTGGTTCGTGGTGTGTGTGTTGTTTTTGTTTTGTTGGGTTTTTTAAAGTTCTAGGTAATATTAGGATGACATCATGATTAATACAGATTTATATGATAGGTGTTGGTTCCAGCAAAGAAGGTGTATTTTAATGTGCAAATGTGTATCACACAGTTGACTTTTCTTGCTATCATTTTTATGCTGGAAAAATCTTTTGGAATTTGTTTGGATATTTTTTTGCCCATTTAACAAGTCTAGAAATAAAGAAGCTGTCAACAAGCCCCAGAATTTCATCAACTAAGAAGTAAAGTATACTAGAATTGTTTCGGGTAAGAAACAATTGTTGGCCAAGATGAAGACCAGTAAGCTGAAATGCAGTTGTGTATACAGAAGAAGAGTTTAATGGATTGGAAAACCAAACCTTTGCCCTTTTTAATTTTCTGAAAAGACCTTGAAATTAAGTAGTGATTTTTCTTAAGTTGCTTGCTCTAAAATATAACAAATGTCTTTCCTTGCTAATTCCTCCGCGCTTTTAGGGTAACATCTGAACATGAATTGTGTACTTCATGTTTCTTGAACACTTCTTTGGAGTATATATCAGTCCTCAGACCTGCAGAGGACAGCACAAGTCCCTGCCTGTGCTGCTGCTGTGGACTACAGGGCTGTCACTCAGGTGTTAGCAAATGGAGGTACATCTAACAACACTGGCATTGGGGTGAACAAGGTAGTTTTGGATAGGTTTGTTTTGGACCAGTAGCATCTCACCTATTCATAGTGAAAGGACATATACATTACTTCTTTCTTAGGAGAAGATACCCTATGAATTATAAGACAGGGCTAGAAGAACAAGTTATTTGAGAATTAGAAGCACTTGGGATGAAATATGGTATCAGTTTTGTTTGTAGGCAGCAATGTGTGTTAAGTGAATTTAAATTAGAAGAACTTAATTGCTCAGGAGAGCCACCCAGGGGCTATAAATATGAACATTATTTTTCCAAATGCTTGTTCACAGTGTCTAAACCCTTTAAAAGCTACTTGCAGCCAGCAGTCATTAAGAACTGGTAGTGGTGTCTGTGCTCTGTGTGTTACTAGATGCTGAAGAGAGCAGCAGTGGTGCTTGAGCAAGGATCATCTAGCTGAACAGACTGTTACAGCTCAGGTACTTAGGAGATTACCTGTAGTGTGCAGGAGAAGTTTCCAGAGGAAACATTTACCTCTTTTCCTGCAGAGAATAAGAAGTCAGAGGGATGGATGGGAAGCTGTATTTGTGCAGAATAGGTCTTACACCAAGACGTGTGTTGGTCAAAAAACTGGCTGAAGACGTGTGCTCTGCAGGTATGGCAGAGAAGGCTGAATTGGTCAGGTTGGGGACAAGAACCTGTGGGAATATGGAAATAAAAATAAAAGACCAGTTGGTGTTACTGATCACCACATAGACTGGAAATGGTTGTTTCCTTATTCTGCAGCTTTCCTGAGGTGCCCATAACCACTCTGGGTTTTCTGTCAACTGAACAATTCTTTGTCTGTAATCATGATTAGGTGGCATTTGTGTAGCAACATCTGGATTTCATGTATGCTCAGTCATCATTTCATACTGAAGAAGTACTCTAAAAGTGACCAAAACAGTTGCTTTAGAGGCTAGATTTACTAGTTAATGTTGGTAGGTTTAATTTTGTAGTTTGGTTGTGTAAAAGACTGATGCTCCACCAAAAAGATAAATTAACCAAATAATAAAAAAAAGCTCAAGTAATTATGATCTAGCCTGTGTTGGGATTTTTAAGTCTCACTGCACTTATGTATTTCAAAAGTAAAAGTATAAAGTAATATCTTACTCATAATTACTTATTAAAATGGGTACAGTATTCTTCAGGATATTGCAACATAGAAGAGATTTGGATAGAACAGGAAATTGCTACTTTTAAATACTTACAACATTAAAATACGGTGTTATTATATTACACTGCTTACGTATTGAAAGCTTCTAGCAGTGTTTTCTCCACCTCTGGTTCGACCTGGCTGTTCAGGTGTGCATGTGAGGTTTAGCAGATCTTTCTTGCTACTCCTCCCCCTCTTTCAATATCCCCAAGATTCCAGGTTGCAACTATTTTCTGGCATGGGAAGGGTGATCTGGAATGTGAAAAGTGGCCCTGCTAACTAATTAGAAACTGATTAAAGTAAATCTCCTACTGCTTCTGGAACTTGAGGGCCTTTTGCTGGTTTCCTAAACACCTGTCTTCAGAAATTGTCCCAACTTTCCTTGTTCATTCCCAGTGTGAGCTGCTGTCTGGGAAGCACTGCCCACTGTGAGACCAGCCTTGGCTTCTCCACCCAGCCCAGCTCTCAATGCCAGGCTTTATCTCTTTACCTTCTCTTGTGCTTGTAGAAAAGTTTTCCTTTGACAGGCTTGTTTTCTCCCCAGGTGGGATTTAGTTGAGAGGGACAATATTGGTACTTGATTTTTTGGGAGGGTCTTTGTGAACTGCAGCTTTTCTTTCCTAGAGAGTGATGGAAGCTGCCCAGAGCTGCCAGGTTGTGGGAATGCTTTGGGTTGGGATGGAAATGGTAGCCTTGGGACTGCCATTAAACAGAGAAGTGCGAAGGCTTCCCATCTTAGTCCCATCTTAAAGGAAGGGCTGATTTGAGTTAGGTTACCATAATGTTGCTGCTACTTCAGCAGTGGAGCAGCTTAGGTTCAGAAGACACCAACTGACTTTTACTAGTTTCTAACAAATATGTAGACAAGCATTTCAGAGATCTTTTGGTGAGTGCAAATATATTTTTCAGGAGTGGTCTTCAAAGCATGTATCATTTGTAAGTCACATTTTTTAAATTGGGAGGAGAACTATATAAAACCCTAAGTACACAAAGCCAAAGAGCCAGCCGTTTATAGCAGGCTTGAGCCAAGTATCCACCAGCCAGCACAAAGCAAGTTACTGCTAAACTTTAGTCCAGTTCTTTGTTGTCTTCTGAGAAATTATCTTGGGACTCACTAATGCTTCAGAGACAAAATAGTAATAGTGGTTGGAATAGGTGTTCAGCTGGAACTGCTGGCTTGTACAAGGCAGCCGTGTGAAATCATGCGCTGGAAAAAGAGCTTATTGAAGTTGTCTGTAGTGTTTGTGGAATGTTGGGGTGATTCCTGGGGTTAGTAAAATTGTTGTTTCCCTTAAATTTGGACATGTATTGCTTTGGCTCCAGAGAGTCTGGTGAAGGTGTTCAGCACTAAATTGTATTAGTATCAATTAGTATTTTGGGGAAAGAAGACAGAGAGAAAGAAATCTGTGTTTTAGGAAACTTAATCCTTCTAAAGCTAGTGCGACTTGGTTTTTGCATCCAGATTTTCATTTAACTTTGTGATGTGTAGGTAACTTTATTAAGCCATAGCTCAAACTGTACATAATTTTAATTCTCCATTTAATTATTATAATTATATGAGTCTGCTTTGTAAATACTCAAGCTTTCTTCTTTTTTCCTTTTTTTTTTTATTTTTAAATTTAATTTTAACAAAAAATTCTGTATATATCACTGGGTATTGTAAATGAGTGTTACTGCAGAAAATTTCTTAGCCAGGCTAAAACCTTCCACATTTTTAATTGAAGTTTCTTACACTGAAGTAATTGTTAAAATTTGAGCACTAGATAGATTTCTATTAGCAAGATCTGAATTTTCTATTAGCAAGATTTTGGCAAAGGGTTGTTGGAAGGCAGTGAGCACTCAAGAGAAGTGCTGCACTGCCTGGTGTTCCTTTCTAGATTAATGTTGAAGATTATTTTTTTTTAAGTCTTAGAAGTGAGCAGAATTTTTAATTTGTTACTGGAGAGAGGGAGGCAAGCAAGCTGTTAATGTTATCTCAGAACTTTTAAAAAGGTGCTAATTCTTCAAATATATTGGTATATGTTAAGTCTACACTGGCAGGATTCTGTTTTGTAATGTCAAGGTGGAATGCTAGAGTGTTTGGAGAAATACTAGTTCAAAATACTGATCTTACTGTAGGATTAGTCTGCTGTCAAATCTAGATGATGTTCCCTTGTAACCTTGCTGTTGGAAGTCACAGTCTGGAAAATAGCTTAATGTCTCTGCACACCATAACAACTTTGGGAACTGAGAATATTATTTAAATTGCTTACTGTTCTTGATGATTGCACTTCCCAGGTGCATTGTCATGTGTGTCAGAAACCATAGGAGTTCCTTACTCTTTAAGATTAAAATAGTTGTGTTCAATGGGATATTAGGATCAGTATTGAAAATTTCAGCTATATGCTTTGTCCTTTCTTGTCTTGACATGCAGGGTAGGGTTTACCTTTCTGTGGTTTGACAGATGTGCAGTGTTAGTTGTAAAGAATTTTTTTATTTTTTTTTTCTGTGGTGGGTGAGAGGGGAGGTTTGGGATATCTTCAGCATGGCATTTTTTCAAACATTTTTCATGTGCTTAGGTGCATCCAAGCAGAAGTCAAGTTCCGTGCAGGTAGCAGATAAGGACCTACTGCCACCTTTTCACCCATACCAGCCTTTGGAATGCATAGTAGAAGAGACTGAAGGCAAGCTGAATGAACTTGGACAGAGAATTAGTGCTATTGAAAAAGCACAACTTAAATCATTGGAATTAATTCAAGGTGAACCTTTAAATAAAGATAAGATTGAAGAACTTAAAAAGAACAGAGAAGAACAAGTACAGAAGAAGAAGAAAATATTGAAGGAGCTGCAGAAGGTGGAAAGGCAGTTGCAGATGAAAACCCAACAGCAGTTTACCAAAGAATATTTGGAGACCAAAGGTCAGACAGACACACCACTTCCCCTGCAGCAGCAGTGCCCACTTACAGGGGTCTTCCCAGAAGTGGAAGCCAATAAGGGTTTGCCAGAGGATAACTTTTCAGGGTTATCTCAGGTTGACACAATCTTGTCTAAAGATGATGAGCAGCAACAGTCTCCACCGCCTGCTGAAGAAATAGAGTTTGTCCCTATCCAGCCTTTGCCAGCATCGCAATGTAATTTTTCTGGTAATTTAGGTTATCATGGGACAGAGTCTCTTGAACTTCAGAAAGCATTAGGGAATCAGCAGAATGTAGGACAGCAGCAGCAAATTGCTGGGCAGGGGCTCTTAGTTCAAGAACCAGACGGATTAATGGTTGCCACTCCAGCACAGACGCTTACCGACACTCTTGATGACCTAATAGCAGGTGGGTTAAGAAATATAACTATTTTTACATTAATTTGTGTGCTCAGTTTCCCTCTCTCTCCTTCCCTCCAAAAACATCTCGGGGTTTTTCCAGTTCGGGAGTACTTGCTTAAGAATAAAGTTCCTGATTAGTGCTATTAATCCTAATAGTGACTTCCAATTCTAACATAAGACTTAAATATCTTTTTTTCCAAAGTGTAAAATTTCCTGTACTTGAGACCTGTTTTAACCCCTTTGGCCTCATCTTTTTCTGTATTTCTTTAAATAGCCTTACAAGTGATTAGTAGTGCACCCTAGGAAACATGGAAGCATGACAGTTTTATATCTTCTGTAGAAATTTTGATATAAGCTTGTATCTGAATTACTTTCTTCAGTGTAGAAGAAAATCTCTAGAAATAGTAAATTTTTTGTCACCTGTATGGGCATGTGGCCTTCTTGCTGCTCGGGGTGTTGGTACAGTTTAAACACAACCTGGAATCTGCAAACAACTGCTCAGCTCTGCAGAGGCTTGTGTTTTCAGAATACCCTCTAAATGCTCGTGGTTGTGCAGGAATACCTGCATTTTAGATAGAACATATTACAAAAACGTGTCCTGTTATATGGATGAAAAGCAAAAAATCCAGCCATCCTTCCAGCTGTTGATAAGGGTGTGAAGAAGAATGGAAGTTCCCACACATTGACTTGTGCAAGTTCCCCTGGTGGAAAAAGAATGATCGTTTGGGTTTACTTCATTTCATGGATTTGACTAGGATTGATGTTTGCTGCTGGAGGTATGTAGGATATAGACAGTGTTGTTTGGTCTGTAGTTTGTTTTTTTTCAATTAGGTGTTTCCCTTTGCACCTTATGTCTGTCCCTCAGCCCTTATTTTCTTGTCTCTTCTTCCCCTCCCCATAGTCACTGCCCTGTTCTCCTTAAGTTCATTGGAAGGTTGTAGAAATATGTGGTAAGACTTTTTGCCAGCCATTCCTGTGGATTTTTAGAATGGTAATTGCATTGAGCTCATGCAGGTTGAGACCACCTGTGACTGTGCAAGCTCCCATGGAAGTCATAGTTGGTGGGCTGTTGTGGAGTGATGCACCAGCTCCCTTCAGCTATCCAGTGTAATTCAAAGAAATTGTATTGGCTTATAAAGAATCAGTTTCAGTTGCCCTTTTTCTGGTCTGGAATTCCTCCCTCCCCCACTCTACCCTGCTCTTCAGGGTATTAAAAAAGCAATTGGATTATTCTTGATTTTTATTACTCAAAATTTTACTGCAGTGTGTGAGGAGGAAAATCTGAATGGTTAATGCGAAATGTAATCAACACGGGCTTCATCTTCAAGGAAGTTCCTATTGCTGACCGTTTGACATCTCTAGCACAAGACCGTGTAGTGTATCTGCTTTCACAGTTAGGACTGGACATCACAGCCAGAACATTCAATGCACCCACACCAAGCCCTGCCACAGTCAGCTGAGCATGAGAGCTGAGCTGCTGGAGGAAAGGTTGCAAACAACTAGAAAAGCTTTGTCTTAAAAATAATTTTAAAAACCATGACTAGCCATTGGTTCTTTTTTCTGAAACTTTTACTGTTCTTACAAAGTGATTAAAGACATTTTTTGCTAAGAAATGTGATTTGCTTGTTGCAAAAATTGGTTCAAATAGTATGCTCTTCTACAACTATTAGAAACTATTCACAGCAATGGGACTCAAGAAAACTGTCCAATTCCAGAGATCCCCGCAAAAATGCATTGATGTTGTTTTATTGAAATAGATTTTCCTATGAGATTCTTAAGTTTGTTTTACTTCCCTCCTGCCAAAAAGTTGTTGGAAAAGAATTAGATATTTTGCTACTTGAAAAATCCACACTGTGTGAAAGAGTGAAATTTTAGTCCTACTATATCTCAAACTTATGTACATTTACAACCGAACTGTAACTACTTACTCATACTCAAACTCCATATTTAAAAGGCACTTGAGCTTTTTCCACAAACTTGCTCATTAGTCCTTAATTTTGTAAAGAAATTTTGAGCCATAGAAACTGTTATGGGAACTGAATTTTACATGTGTGCTACAGATGTCAGATAAAATTAAGAGGCTTGTGCTGGGTGCATGGGAACTCTCATCTCAGTTAGAAGCTGTGTCTTGGCCTCAGGTGGGCTGATCAAGTGTCTCCCTACTTCTGGGTACTACTGGTGTAGCTGCAGTGAAGGTGGTGAGTGGCTCTTGTTTTACAAGAGTTATGAACGTTTCTTTCTTGCCGAGTTACTTGTATCAGGTCTACTTCCGAAGAACAGAAATGTCAAATCAGCTTTTTTGCCCTCTGCATGGAAATAGTTTTTCTTACGAGTGGTGATGTAGGAGGCAAATTTTTCAAAGCCTCTATTTGAGACTAGTTTGAAGGGAGAACTTGCATTTCTACAAAGCCTTTCTTGTGCTAACTTAATTGTGACAACATATATAAATGAAGTATTTATCTTGCCAGTGTGCTAGCATAATTTGTCAGTTGCTAGGTATTGAGATGGTTAATATTAAAGTGAGAAGTGCTGGAGGTTTTGCTGGCAGTCAGTCACTGCTAGATGTGTAAAGCTACACAGAACTAGCCTTTGGAAAGTTAGGTGAAACCTAAAAAGCAATTCTTTCTAGTCCACAATGTTTTTTGATTGCAAGGAGCTTATCCAGATATGCTGAAGCAAAAATCTTGCAACTAAACTTACCTTTGAAGGCATACAACAGTCAAATTTGTAATTACATTTTCAAAAGAGATGTAGACATTGTGCAATTTAGAGTAAAAAAGCAGTACATTATTTTGAATCGCATCCTCCAGTAGAAGAGGACATTCTGGATCTGTTTTTTGTTACTCAGTGCACGTTTGGTTACTTGAAGCATCTTGTTTTGCAGAGTTGGAGTTTTGCTTCAGTTGACCTTATGGATTTAGGCATAGTAGGTTTCTTATTTGGCAGTGTCTAAATTGAGGCGCTTTTTTCTGTTTTAGCTTATTCAGATGAAGAACATTTTCTTTGTTGCTACGTTTTGTCTCTAGTTGGAGTATTTTTACTCCCGTTCTACTCAGCTGGTATTTTTATTTAGGAAGTGGCATCTCTGTGCTTCTGACTCTCCTCCTGCAGGCTCCTATTTGTAATTATTTAGAAGGTGACATCTGAGTTACTGTATATAGGGTTGCTGTTTGGAGTAAAACTGGCTACTAGGATAACTGGGAGTGAGAGATGGTGATTCACAGAACAAGAACCAGTTAGCAATGTGCAAAAGCCTCTGTACCGTAATGTAACTAAGAAGCTGCATGCAAAAGCATGGAAAAAGGATTGTTTTCTTTGGCCTGAAAATCCCACTTCCTTGGATGAAAGGAGAACTGAAATCCAAGTCCAGTATTCATGCACATCCATGCTCATGGCATGGCAATGGTTAGGTAGATGCAGTTATGGATTACAGCTGCAGTGTCATCTAGACATGCTTGCTTGAGGTTCTGCCAATGCCTTCCAACTTGTACTTAGATAAAATGCCAAGTTCTTGCTTTCTTTTGTTTTACTCATGTTTCCTGTGATAATTTTTAATAACTTTTGAAAATAGTAATCCATATCTTTGAAGGACCTGTCTTTGACTTCACACTGATTCAAAGAAAGTCCCTCTGGAAAGTTTCAAGCCCTTCTTGAAACATGGAGAACCTGGATTTTGTCGCATATAGAATAATTTTTTTTAAAATGCAAGTCTTTTGACTGTTGAAGTCTATGGAAACATCCGACAGCTATGTCACAAAACAGGTACTTTGTAAAGATCTGAGGTACACGTTGCAAGAATTGATTTTTGTGGTTTTTGATAAATGCCAAGCTATCAGTGTGTTCGGCAGTACCCTTCTCAGAGGAAAACCAGTTCGGTAGGAAGAGATCTTCATGGTGGAAAGTTGCCCCCATATCCTCTCAGAAGATGAAAGACACATATTTTTCTAGTCTGTTAAAATCCCGTAGTGCAGTGTAGAGGTGGCTGAGGGTGATCATCCCCCAGGCCTGGTTTTATGTTCTCTAGCTCACTTTGCTCTTGAGAATCCTAGGAGTGCCAGTGCCGCTCTTCACTGCGGAGCTGCTGCCATGCCATGTTCATTCCTGATTTAAATCCAGTTACTGAGGTGAAAGTCTAAGCGGCCATGGTGGTATTGCTCGTCAGGGAGGCTGCACGTTAGCTCCATGAGTGTGCCCTGCTAAAGACTAGTGATTGGCAAGACTTCCTCAGCTTCCCTGGGGCCAGGGAAGTCAGACCAATGGAGCCATCTCCAGGGGCACAGCTGGGTCCCCCCTGGTAGGGGGAGGCAGAAGCTGAGAGTTGGCTCTCCCATTGTGTCCCATTGGTAGGACAACTGTGTCTCTCTGGATGGATTTTGTGCAGGAGCAGTAGCTGTCCCATCTCCCGTGGTCAAGTTTGGTAATACAGAAATGAACTTTGAGAAATGCAAGTTAACTCAAATTTCATACAAATGTATGCAGAGGAATATTGGAACCATCTTTTAGTGAAAAGTCTGTAAGGTCAGATTCTGAATTTAAAAATCTGAATGTTGTGTTAGTTAGGCTGAACTAAATCAGCCCCATGAAACTAGAGGCACAAGTTCTCAGACATGTTTTGCTCCACAGAGCACAAGTTCTGTTGTTGCTTTTGCCAGCCACACTAAGGAAACAGAAGTTACACTTCAAAAAATCTTGCAGTTTTGTAAACTCAGGAGTTATAGAAGGGATGAATAATAAGTGGGTGTTGTAGTAGGACTGTTTGTTGTTAGATTTTATTTTAAACAATAGTTTGGGACAGAATTTTCTCTGCATTTCTACTACCATTTCTTATGTTTGACATGGTTGTTACTGCGCAGGTGAAGCACTTTGCACACACTCATGTTTCAAGCACACAATGAAAATCTAAAGTATGCAAGAAATACTTGGACATTTTCAGTCATGGCTGTGAAATGCAGAGAATTTGTGGAACCTGCAACAGCAACATTAAGTATATTGCATGAAGGACCCTTGGACTGGCTCAGGTGGAGTCCCTCTGTGCACCATTGCTTTGCGTGCACAGCACATGCACATGGTTTTAGATCTACCTGTAGTTGAAAGAGAATAAAGCATTGGGCCAGTGTCTTTCATGAGGAAGGACCCGTTTGATTTTCTCTTAAGTCCTTAACAGGGCATTTTGGTGTCTTTCATTTTGGAAGGAATAATCTTTAGAAATCCAATTAGTATATTGCTGTTCAGCGCACTGAGCAAAAAAACAACTGTATTGCATTAATTAGTGCTCATCTGCTGCTATAAGTGGTAATCCATAGTAAGCAGATGAAGCGTGGGAGCTTTTATGTTTGAAACTTCTAACATAAACCTGGTTTGCTCGTAAAAGTTGTAATGTGTAAAGTCTGAACTTGGATACAACTTTGTTGTTTTATTGTGGTACCTAAATATTAATGCTGATTTTTGCCAATGCACCAAGGAGAAAGCTTTAATTAAAAAATGCAATTGAAAACTGTCACCCCCCTCAAATATTGGTGACAGCCCCCCCAGTGTTTCCAGAAACCAACCAAAGGGACTCATCTGAACATACTCTAGTTTGTGTTTCCTTTGTCATGCCTATGTAGTCCCATAGGCTGGGGTGGGATGGAAGAGTGAAGATTGGAAGGGACCTTAAGGATCACCAATTTCCAGCCTCCCTGCTATGAGCAGGGACACCTCACACAGACCAGGGTGCACAAAGTCTCATCCCCTCCAGGGAGGGGGCAGCCACAACCTCCATAGGCAACCTATTCCACTGCCTAATTAGTGGTATTAGTGGTCACGTTGGTAATTTTTCTTGTACTTTTCTGTCTGCACTGTTTGTCTATGAGTAATTGTAGTCTGTGTTTTGTCAGGGGAATTGGGAAGGTTGAGCTGGGAAAAATTTTGCAAAAATTTCTTTGCAAGTCATGCTTAGGTTTGCGTTCATCCTTTATCTTCCCATATTTCCTGGACAAAAGCAAAATGCTGCTGCTTATTTCTTACCTCCATTTTTTAGTGGTTGCTTGTTCCAGGAATGCTAAAAAATAGAGTATGTTTTAGAATTGTTAAAGCTAACCAGGTATTCCATTGTGTGAGGCTGCACGGTACAGAAGTTGGGCAATCCAGCAGTGACAATACTTGTCAAATACAGCTGCCATATTTGCAAAGCTTGTTATATTTAAAGTGCACTCATAGCTGGTGCTTAGGTTTGTTAGTCTTTCCTGCCAAGTAATCCCAGCTGAGCCTTAGATTCATTTGAGCTCCCCATGGCCTCTGTTTTGGTTACAGAAACAGACAGAGATCTTGGTCCCGGGATATATATGTGCAGGGATATTTCTCTACTTGTTCTGGTAGAGTTTAATTTAAAAGTAGCTGAATAAAATCTGATTCTCAATTATATTTGTCTTGATTGTTACTTTTTAAAAAAGGGATATAAAGTTGCATTCTTTGTATCCCTGAGCTGCACTAGATCTTCAGGAGGAAATATTTTACAGGATTGATGAGAATAAAGTTTAGGGAGGGCAGTTTTCAGCTTTCTTATTTTTGTGGACTGCCTCCTGCCCCCCATCTGCTTCTCTTCCACCCCTCCTGGGTTGTTTTAACTCTGAGACACAAGTACTGGTTTAAGTTGCTGTAAGTCATCTTGCTTTGAAAACCTTCTCTGGAGACCAGGTTGGCACTAACATTTACCTCAAAAACTTTTGAAATCCAGAATTAAACTGTACTTCTGAACATTAGGCTCGTGTTTTGGTGATAAATCATCTGCCTGCTTGGAGCATATGATTGAACTCTTAACACTGAAGGTTACAATTTGAACAGGATAACTAATAATCTTTATAATTCATGCTCGTAATGCATACAGACTAATTCATAACATGATTTTCTAATTTAACACAGTTTGGAGGCAATCCTTGCACTGTTTAACTGCCGGAAAGCTGCTTTGTGCAAGACACCAACCTGTTTGTTTTTAGGAACACTTAATTTGTTTCCCCCATTCCTGTTTTGATATTAGACTGGTGCAGTTTTATGGGACTAAATATTTTTCATATAAAATGTGTTGTTCCTAAGAGGGGATTAATAACATACTATTACTTTTCAGCTGTGAATAGCAGAGTGCCCAGTGGTTCCACCAGCTCCTCACTCCCTACTGAATCCCCTACTCCTGAGCCTTGCTCCCAGGCCTCCAGCAACGTGCCCCCACAGTCCGTGCTCCCTATGTATCCTTCAGTTGACATTGATGCACATGTGAGTAATTGCAGTTGGTTTGGACTAGATTTGCTTTCAGAAAAGTTCTGAAAGGGAAAAAAATTAATCTAGTACTGTCTTAAAGATGTTTAAGTTCTCTTAAATTGTGTTTAATTTTTTAATATCTGCTTCTTTTTTTTCCCAACTGTGAAGACTGAAAGTAATCACGACACTGCTCTGACCCTTGCATGTGCAGGAGGTCATGAAGAACTTGTATCTGTACTGATAGCACGTGGTGCCAATATTGAACACAGAGACAAGAAGGGTAAGCTAAAACAGTAAAACAGTTTCACCATTAACTACAACATGAAACAGTGAATTTCAAATTGGATTTTGGGATTCTGTGCCTCAGTAAATTACCAAAGCCTGCAAAAATGTGGAATTGCATTCTTGCACTTCATATAAAAACATCTGCTATAAAGAGGCAGTGACATTGCATGCCCTTCTGACTGTATTTTTGAAAGGAAGTGCATTTGAGCAGTATCTTAAGTAGTTGTCAGCTTGTGTGTCATATTGTCCCAAATAAGAGTTCAGTAAACTCTGATCTTCTAAAGCTGAGAGAACAAAGCCACCATGTCTCTGCCTGGGACTCATATTGACCACTGGAAATAAGCAGAATGCGCAGTGCAGATGTATTCACTTACTGGAGCTTTATTAAATAGGAATCAAGTGGAAATCCATAACTTCTCTAAAGAGATGAATTGCTTGGAACTTAATACAAATTGATCAGTGTAAGCACTGTTTAGATTTCTTGTGCAGAGCCTTTAATTACATTAGGATGGAATCTGAGCCTAGATGTGTCAGGGTCAGAATAGGGATGGGAAAGGGTCTGACATGGTGGCCTCCAGGAAACCTCCAGTCTGAACAATAAAAGTTGTTGTGAATTAACCCTTTTGTGCATTTCTGCTCCTTAATGATACTTCTGAGATTCTCAGGGTTGCTTTTAACATGATTCCTTGTTACTAGGTTTTACACCTTTGATTCTCGCTGCAACTGCTGGACATGTTGGTGTAGTGGAAATTCTTCTTGACAAAGGTGGGGACATCGAGGCACAGTCTGAGCGCACAAAGGACACTCCGCTGTCATTGGCGTGCTCCGGTGGACGCCAAGAGGTACAGACACCTCTATCCTAAATGAGTTTGCATAGTTTTTTTGTACAGTGTTCTTCTGGAGATGGTACAATAAATTAGCTACACTCATACAGGTTAAAAACCTTCAAGAAAAAAAAAATTGTCTTTTTCTTCTTTCAAGAGTATAAGGGAATTTATTAATTTCTTGCTTTTTTTCCAAATTTTGTTACTTGATGGTTGTTAAAATTTGTGGTCATTCTTCTGTCAATGTATCCTTGCAAGATTAAGTACTTTTGTGAGGGAGATAGAGATGTTTCATGAGTAACTTCAGTCACTGAACACTTCCTTTATGCATCCCGCCTGTTCTCAGAACAGGGGCTAGGCTTGGGAATTTGTGAGGATTAAAAGTTTGCCAAAATTGTTAAGTTTCCATTTTGACCTTTGAACTGCAGATCTTTACCAGTAAAAGTGCTGCTCAAAAATAAAAGGAGAGATCAATGTGGCCTGTGATAGCATTACTTATTGAACTGCTAAAGTCTTTTCTTTCCCCTTATTTTTTTGGCTTATGCCAGAACCTACTTCTTACATTTCTGACTTAGCAGCTGCTTTCTTTGTCTGGCTTATTTGAAGATCACCTAGCCTATGTTAGTAGCAAAATGAGGCCCCCTGAAGTGCAGCACATCACCAGAGAAGTTTTAATTTTTCCCCCTTTTATTTCTCATAAGCAGCTTCTAACAGAGAAGTCCTCCCTCATGCTTGTTCCATTAGCATCAGTTCTGATTTATACTACGTGTCTTGCTCCAAAGACCATGTAATACAGATGGTCAAACTTGGCTAAAGTGTCATTTGAGTTAAAGTTGCAGGAGTTTCTGAAAAGAGTCACTCGGACAGTGGGAGGCATTATGGGAGTGGGATGAATCCCTTGTTTGCAAGCTCAAGATTCACAGGAAGAGCTTCACTTTAAAGTCGTGCATTTTTTATTAGGTAGGAGAATCTTTTTGGAAGGCAAGTTCTGCAGTGCTCCAACACATGCAGACTGGCTGGTGTATTCATCAGTTGCTAAGTCTGTACAGCACGTCTGTAAAAGGAAAGCAAAAGAGGATAGAGGTCCTTCTGTAGAATGTTATCTGTTGACAATGGAGACTGCTAACACACTGGAAGATTTCACATGTGATAACATCCTTTCACTTCCTGCATAATAGCAAAGGCCACAATATGTCTTTTAATGCAAGTACTGTCTTTGCAGGTGGTTGATTTGCTGTTGGCACGAGGAGCAAATAAAGAACATCGGAATGTGTCTGACTATACACCGTTAAGCCTTGCTGCATCTGGTGGCTATGTTAATATCATCAAGATTCTTCTTAATGCTGGGGCAGAAATTAATTCCAGGTAACTATGCACCAGCTGAACTGCAGCGTAGCACAGACACTCTTGTTGGCTACATACTGAGACATAGGTTGGAAGTTCTAATGCCTTCAAACTCCTTCAAGCCTTTCTACACTGATGTAATCCTGTATGTTTGTTTTCTTAGTGCTTCTAAATTGCCTTTAATTAATTAACACAAACTTCATCTTCCTTATGCATAAATTGTAAGGGATTATTATATTTTGCAAACTTATTCCATCGCTTTCCCTTTTCCACCCTTCTGGGGTCTAGAAATAAAACTATTTCCGATAGAACCAGGTAAAGGAACCAGCCAAAGCACTCAGGGCAGCTCTTTGTGTTTGTTTGAAATCCTCTTTTTCAGTAAGAACAAGTTTACACAGCTGTCTCTTAAGCTTCCTCTTTATTCACTTTAAGAAAACTTACATGTATTCTGTCATTAGATATAATGAAAACCTGCAGGTGTGCTAAAAGCGTGGTTTTTTCTGAATTGATTTTTTCTGAATGAATCAGATGCAGCCTTGATTTTTAGTGTATATAGTTTAAGACTTATATGTGCTTCAGCCATCTAAACATCTAAAAGCTGAAATTTATTTTCCTTTTTCATCAATTGCAATTGTCTGTTGCATGTGGTTACTCTGGTTTTGCCTAATCAATTAAAAAATGCTAGTGTCTTAGGTTCTATATTTGTTTATGTTATATGTTCCTTTCTGGCTTACAACAAAGCATTAGCTACACTTAACATTTCCCAAAGTGTTCCTCCAGTTCTGGGAACTGCAGTTTGTTTCTTTCCCTTTAGGACTGGTAGCAAGCTTGGCATTTCTCCTCTGATGCTGGCTGCCATGAATGGCCACGTCCCTGCTGTGAAACTGTTGCTTGATATGGGTTCTGATATTAATGCCCAGATTGAGACCAACCGGAACACAGCTCTCACCCTGGCCTGCTTCCAAGGCCGAGCAGAGGTGGTCAGCCTGCTTTTGGACAGGAAGGCCAACGTTGAGCACAGGGCAAAGGTGAGTGTGTGAATCGCCTTTCCTTCTGGCTTCTACCAGGTGATTTCTTTAAGTCATCCAGTTTCTTCATCTTCTCCTGTTTCTTGAGCCCCTAGTGACCCAGAGAATTTATTAATTCAAACAACTTACTGAATACTCTGGGAGAAGTTTGGTTTTTTTTAAGAAAAAAGCATCAGTGATGATGAATGTTTTGTATTCGGGAAAAGCTAACTGGTGCTTCTGAGGTCATAGTGAACCTTAGATTGACTCTTGTTCTCTAGTATTGAGAACCTTGTTGGGTTGAAGCTTGATGTGATACTCACTAACAGAACAGATAGTTTGACATGTTTTTACATATGAGTGGTGTCCAGGCAGGAAGACAGTTGTGTTGCTTATGGTGATTCCCACGTAGAACAGATTTCTTGTCTACAACAGAAGTAGTGCAATCAAACTTTGTAAAGCTTTTACGTTGCTTTTACATAGAACCCATGGCTTCAGTACTGTGACTTTCTGTGCCTCTGAAATGCTCCACAGGTCCCATCCTTTGGTGCTCTGGGACAGCTTTGTGTCTCCTGCCATAAAGCAAGCTTAAAGCTTGTATAGACAGCCAGACTGATTTCCCCAGCACAAAGGAATTTTTGGTAACTCCTAAGGCTGCTGAAATAATTGCTGTGTCTGTCTACCCCGCCTGCTTCTGGAATGACTGGCTGGAGAAAAGGGGATATGGATAAAAGCCAGCTCTCAAATGGTCAGTTGGGCATGCTAGCAGCTGGTATAAGTTTATTTAACAGTCTGGCCTGGCAACTAAGTTGGGCCCAGATCAACCTCAGCCCTAAGGGAGGCTAGAGAAAAGCATAAAGTCAGTGTCTGAGCATTTTCATAGAAGCACATGTGTCTTCATTTGGATCTGTTCTAACCTCTGGTTTTTGTAGATCCTGTTGTAAACTTTGTTTTTGCTGTTGAGACAAGTATCTGGCAAAAAAAACATTTTGCCTGCATTTGTATAAATCAAAGCCCAAGAGCATTTGGTTTTTGGGTTTTTTGTTTGTGTTGGTTGTTGGGTTGTTTTGTTTTGTTTTGTTTTTGAGAAAGCAACTGCTTGAAGTTAGGCTAAATATAAGAAGCTAAATAATTTTTTAGAAGTCTGATTTTTCTGTTTAGAAATAATTTATGTCTTATCCAAAGCATATTGTACACATTTCACACTGTGTAACTCATTCTCTTTGCACAGACTGGTCTCACACCTCTGATGGAAGCAGCTTCAGGAGGATATGCAGAGGTTGGAAGGGTCCTTCTTGATAAAGGAGCAGATGTTAATGCTCCACCTGTGCCTTCCTCAAGAGATACAGCTTTAACAATTGCAGCAGATAAGGGTCACTACAAGTTCTGTGAGCTTCTCATTAATCGGTAAATTATTTCTTCACATTACCCGCACACAGGGTGCCCTCTTTACATGACCTTGTGTATCTGAGAGCAAAGGGAATGGGAAGGTTTGGAAATATCTGTTCCCTCCTCTCCAGTGTTATCCTGGAGTATCCTGCTATTCCAGTATCAATTAAGTTAAATAGGCAGCTGGGACCTGAGGTAAGCAAACAGTATCTGGCTTGGCAACTCTGTCTTAATCCAGAAATTCCTACATGAGCTTTTCCCCACTGTCACCTGGAGGACAAAGCCTGAAAGAGCTCTTGAACTCTTCAAGCACAATCCTGTGCGCTCCTAAAATCTCAAGGGGCTGCTTTGTTCTGTGGGTAGTCACCCATGAATGATAATGTAAAGGAGCTGTGGTTGCTAGTTGTAGAGCTGTGGTGTAGTAGGCTACGTTAGATGAATGTTCCTTTCTGTAAGGGAGGCTTAAAAAATCCCTGTCACTACGCTGCAACTTTTAAGGCAGATTTCAGGGACAGAATTTCTCTATCTAGCCACTAGATTATAGCAATTATATTTATGTATCTAACTGTACTCTGATCTTACATCACCTTACTTCCTAACTTCCACTTTGTTTCACTTGTTTATACTTGTACTTTTTTTAGAGGAGCACACATTGATGTCCGTAACAAGAAAGGAAATACACCTCTGTGGTTGGCAGCCAATGGTGGTCACTATGATGTGGTTCAGTTGCTTGTGCAAGCAGGAGCAGATGTGGATGCTGCAGATAATCGGAAAATTACACCTCTTATGTCAGCGTTCCGCAAGGTAGGAGACATTTGTTCTTAATTCCAAATGCTTGCTTTTGGAAGAATGAAAATTTATCACAGTAAAAATACTACTTGATAAAATGCCAGCTTTCAAGAAGCCATAACCTGCATCCTTCACACTGATACAATTATTGAGAGGATAAAATCTTTGTTCCATAAACCATGTCAACTTTATTATTTCCAGCTATAGGCTTTCTAAAATCTTTCCCTGTTTGAGATTTCTCAGGATTACCACTGTCCACTCAAAATTTCTGGGGATTATGCTGCTTGTTTCAGTCCTGCTTTTTGAGATGAACAAAATACCAGTCTGTAATAACCTGTCCTGACTCCTGTGCTTCTGTTTCCTTTCTGGTTTGTTGTTGAGTGGGACACTTTGTTTAGTCAGCCCTTTTGTCACTGCCTTTTAATCTTGGCAGGAAGGACATTGCTTTGCCATGGTTTCATCAGTTAAATTGTGGGATGCAAGGAGCATAGCTATAGCAGAGGAATTTATTCAATGTAGTTTCTTTGCCTTTAACAAAATATCAAATAGGGGTACAGCAATACTGAGCATGCCACTGCTGTCCTTCCAGTGCTTTCAAACAACTTCAGAGGCAACAGCTGGATGCTTTTGGTGTGGTTGCACAGTGTGCCCCAACAGTGAGTGGATCCATCAGCAGAGGAATCCTGTTTGCCAGGATTTGATGGCTCAGTTCCCTGTTCAGATTTACCTTATAATTGAGCAATCTAAGCTGCACAGCATGAGTGGCAAGAGTGTGGGTTGGGGCCACAGGTGGAGTCTTAGGGAGCATCTTCTTGGGTGTCACTAAAAACATGAACAGCTGCCTCTGCCCTTGGGCCTGGTTTGGTCTTTGTATTTTAAAATAAGAAGTTACTTGTGGCAGAGCTTCTTTGCAGAACAGTATGAGTGCTGTCAACCCTCAGCAAACACAAACTGCCTTTCTTCCCCAACAGCAGCTTGCCAGAAATGTTCTTACTTATTCGTGATCTTTTGCATTGGACTAAGCAGTATCAAACTGTTATTTTCGTGACTGATGTTGACAATCAGATACAAGAGATTAGAATTTTCTTTGCTATCCTAGGGGCACGTGAAAGTAGTTCAGTTCCTGGTGAAAGAAGTTAACCAGTTTCCTTCGGACATTGAATGCATGCGGTACATAGCAACAATAACTGACAAGGTGAGTTTCATTTTAGAAAAAGACACTTTCCCTTATTTTCAGTGAAAATACAAATTCTTAAGTATTCAAAATCTGGATGTACCTGTTTACTCATGTACATTTGTTTAGGAGGTTTATCCTTTTTTTCATTTTTCAGTTTGTACAGAACTGGAAAAAAAATAGGCATTTGGAGTCCTGTTCTGTTGAAATAGTTCGTATGTTTATGAATACAGGAAAACTAATGTCATGTTTGTAGTGCAATCCTCATTCATCAGTTTTAGTTTATCACAGAGGTAGTAAGACAAGTTTGCATTCCAGGACCTGTTGAAAAAGTGTCACCAGTGTGTGGAGACAATTGTGAAAGCTAAAGACCAGCAGGCTGCAGAAGCGAATAAGAATGCAACTATATTGCTGAAGGAGCTAGACCTGGAAAAAGTGAGTAGAGAGTTGCTGTGGTGCAGCATAACTGTTGGTATTAATGTATAGGCTGTATTTCCTGATGATGCTTCTTGAGGCAGTGGTCCTTCATGCTGTGACTGTATGTGCTTTACTTTTGCTAATATACAACAAGTGAAGTGTATACTGAGAGTGGCAAATCAGAACTGACTTCTGCTTCAGTCAATCTGTTGTCCTTCTTAAGAAAGCTTGGACTTGGCATGAGGTAACAGCTCCTTGCATTCTTTCAACACGGATAAACGTGTTAATAAGGGATGTCTTTGGTCTCAGGGGTGTGGTACATGCTATGTTCTGTAAGCTGGGAGTCCATAAGCATTGTGTGGACATCTGCTCAGAGGTATGAAGAAGAGCCTATGAGCTGCCCAAGTAGCTGTGTGGAGTTGAGCAGATAGTGGGGAAAAACTTCTCCCTCACTTAGAATACTGTGAAGCATAAAAAGTAATGCAGACACTTCTTAACGACTCTTTAGTGGGGTCTCTTAATACTTTTTAAGAACAAGTTCCTTATTAGTGTATCAAATTTTCCAGGTTACTGACTTGTGAAATACCCATCAGTTGCTGTGCAAAGCTGGAATGTTGATAGTTGACTTGACTGATTCCCTACATTAAAAAAAGTGGTTAAAATTAGTGCTGGTTTTTATGTAAATTACTCTGGAAGATATTTTTTAGTAAAAAATTTGAACATTGTTTCAAAAATATTAAAGAGGTTACTGACTTTTTTTTGAGAAGTGACTGAGATGATGAGAGACTTTGCTGGTTTTCCAGTAAAACTAAGTTCTTACAATACCTCTGTTTTGGTTGGTATTTTGTTGTCATTCCTTAGAAGTTCTGGAACCAGCTGGTCCTGTTATTCCATAAGGTCTGCCCAGTTTCTGTGTAATGATTTAGTATTTGACAGGGTCATTCTAGTTCATCGTCCTCTACTTTCTCCCCCCCACAAATATCTAGGGAAGATCTGAATTATAGTATAGTTAGTCTGTGTGAAATTGTTTAAATATGGATCTTTTTATCCTACATAGTCAAGAGAGGAGAGCAGAAAACAAGCTCTTGCAGCTAAAAGGGAGAAAAGAAAGGAAAAGAGAAAGAAGAAGAAAGAGGAACAAAAAAGAAAACAAGAAGAAGATGAAGAGAACAAGCCTAAAGAAACTCTGGAACTGCAAGAAGATGATGATGAGGAAGAAAATGATGATGAAGGTAAAGAGCAAGTATTTCTATGAGCAATGTATTTGTGGGGGTGTCTTTTTTAAACCGTCTAGGTAAGAGTATCTGTTTGATAGCTGGTTTATCTGGTACTGTGACATTGTTGCATAGCCTCTGCCCTGGTTCATCCTTCCTACAGTCAAGAGTTCCTGGCAAAACTCCTTTGTTCCCCTTTCTCCTCCTTTGTGAAGTCTTTCACTCTGGGAGGACTTAGAGCTGAATGTGGTGTGAACAGTCTGACAGCTCAGGGCACTGATTTCTGTATTTTGTGGATTTTGATTGTATATCCACTGTTTTTCTTTCAGTGGAGCAAGAAGTTCCTATAGAGCCTCCTAGTGCAACTACTACAACTACAATTGGAATTTCTGCAACTTCAGCTACTTTCACAAATGCCTTTGGGAAGAAGAGAGCTAATGTGGTGACTACCCCCAGCACAAACAGAAAAAATAAGAAAAATAAAACAAAAGAGACTCCTCAGAATATGCAAATAATTTTGCCAGATCAACATATATCTCTAGCGCAGCAAAAAGCAGATAAAAATAAAATAAATGGAGAGCCAAGAGGTGGTGGTGCAAGTGGGAATAGTGATTCAGATAACTTGGATAGCACAGATTGCAATAGTGAAAGCAGCAGTGGAGGTAAAAGCCAAGAGTTGAACTTCACAATGGACACCAATTCTTCCGAGCGGCGCTATGCCTCTTTGCTTATCCCCTCTCAGGAAGAAAAAACGGGCACCTCAGCTTCAAAAACACCAATGAGGTGAGACTGCCATATTGCTCCCCTCTTGTTCCACAGAGTTTTACCTATGCCAAAGGAAATTTTCTGTAGCTTAAGCTTTACACCGGCTGGTACCTTCCCCAAAGTCTTCTGAGACTGAATTTGCTTTTTTCGTGTAGCTATTAAATAATACTGTCAAGTCTGTTGAGTGCAGCCTCTTCAAGATGGTAAAGATGAGATGTTTTTTTTGCACTGCTGACTAGTTTGTAATACTACTTCAGCAAACCAGCCAGTTTTCTCTCTGTGGTTCTTAAGCATCCATGTTGCGTTGTCAGCTTTATTAGAATATTTTTTCAAGTGGATATGCTGGGAATTTAAAAAGGAAGTGCCAGCTTTAGTTACAATCTAGTTACAGAAGTGGTTTCATTGCTTTGTAATTGTTTGTGGTTTCATCATCAACTCATTTGAATTGTAATCTTTTTTTTTAAGGAGTGAAGAAGTTGATGACTCTGTGCATTTTGCCTGCCAGGTGGATGGCCAGTTTGATTTAACCTTGTCAAGCCAGAGGTGAGAGTCAGAAGAACTCAGTGACTGTATAGGGGCTGTATGAATGGTTTGAAAGTGCATTCAGTTGCCAGGGAATGAGCTAATAATTCTGATTAGGTCATTAGTCTGAATCAAAAAGCTTAAATCCCATCTGCATCTGTAGTCTTTGCTTATTTTTACATCTAAATAGTATGAGTCTGATCCTCCATATGTTTCTTTTTTCATTTATTTTCCTGCATTAAGAGAGGGGAGATGGCATGGGGGTACAGGACACGTGGCTGACTGAGAACCCAGCTCCCAGCTTCTGTAAGAACACAAGCATTACAGGATCAAAAAGGGCACCAAGCAAGAGGGCAGTTGGCAGATGGATTGAGGCACTTTTCTGGGAGTGGGAAGAGTTGGAATTTTCTGGTTTTTTTCCCCCTAGATTAAAGTTGGGTGCAGAATGAGTGGATTTGTTAGCCCTTGTGGTTGGGGGGAATGTGTGTTTCAGATTACCCTTTAAGAATGTTAGAAATTGGATTTTGTCCTGTTTTTTGACTGCAAATTATTCCTGCCTTGGACTCTTACAAAAACCTTGGAATCCTGTGCAGTTCATTACAGCAGCATTAACAAAATGCATACTTCTCACTCCTTGTTAGAAGAGATGCTTCTGTTAAGTAAAGTACACCTAAGAAACAAGACAGTATATAAATATCAAAATGGGGCTAGCGTATTTTATCAAGTTTTGAAGGTTCTCCTTTGCTTTTGCAGTGGGCAGACTTTTATCTGAAGGTCATTTCTAAATTTCCTTTTCCTGAATAGATATGCCAATGACAAGGCTACTGTAATTGAAACTTAAACTCAGACATGGTAACAACGCTTTTCTGAAAACATACCTAAAAAGCTTTTAAAATCTACTCTGGAATCAAGATTCCATAATGGCCTCAATTTTTCCTTCTGTATGCATGTTCTTGTTCTCTTTGCCTCGATCTTACAGTTTTCTGGGGACATGTAGTTTTCTGTAGAACTTTCAAATGCCTTGGGCAGGTTTATTATCAGAGAGCTAAAACCTAATATGCTGCCTTTTTAAAAGGCATTTTGTCTAAATGTTGCTTTTCAAATCATCAGTACACTTGGCTTACTGGAAGGTGTAGAGATCTCTAAAGTTTGTATGAAGTTTAGCATAAACAGTTGCCCTGCAAGAGGGCATAAAGAACATAAAATCCTGTAAGTGGGGAAAAAAATGGATGCATATACACTTGTATATAACAAAGAGGAGGAGTGATGCTCAGCAGGATAGCTTGAGTATGAGGTCTTCTGTAAATTTTCCAGCTATGTCATAGATTTGCTGGGTCACATCATAGAAGGCTAGTTTTTCAGTGACTTGTAAAGATTGCTGCCTGTGTTTCAGTGCTGCAGATGAACTTGTGAGCTCCCACTGCAGCTTATTTTTTTTTTTCACCTCCACATAGATTGGTTAGCCTGATGTGTTTGCCTCTTCTTTCTCTTTCTCTCCCAGATTTTGTGTTGTTTGTATCACTACACTATTGCTACAGCTGTATTAGCACAGGTAGCAATATTTGGGCATATGCTTCCAAGCTGATGCCTCTGGGACTGAAATACATAAATATGCTCAAATATTTGTGCCTCTGTTACCCATTCATAAAATGAGGAGCAAGGGGTAGGAGCCCTTTCCAGGGAATCTGTAACAATAAGAGCTGAAAGACAAGACATTTTCAAATACTTAGTAAGAAACACATTACCAAAATAATTATAGCTTTAAAATACCTAGCAGTAAGTAGCTTGAAAAGCTATTGAAAAAGGAGAACACAGTATAGACACATAATCAGGATGTGCCTAAATGGCTTTGCACTCCCTGTAAGACTGTTTTCATCTGATGTCCTTAGTGCTTCTGAACAGTTGTTCCAGGTAGAAAATAAGAATGAAAACAGTTAATGCTAACAGTTTTAAGCTGCAGAAATGTATCCTGCAATGCTGTCATTTTATTCTGTAATTTGTAATCTAGACATTTCTGTTCCCAGACTTGATGGTGAAGGTCATTCAAATTCTTTGTCAACTGCTTATAAGCCGGTTTCCCTGCCTCTGACCTCTCCAAATGTAAAGCTGAATCTGACTAGTCCAAAAAGAGGCCAGAAAAGAGAAGAAGGCTGGAAAGAAGTGGTTAGAAGGTAAAGATTTCGATTATATGTCTAAAAAACTGTCTGTGAGCTTTTTGGCTTGTAAATGTTACTCATTTGGCACAAGGGTTTTCTTTGCCTGTGATTCAGTGGAGTAAAGGATGTGAGGATAAGATAAAAGGAAGGGAGAGCAGATGGCAGTAAAAAGCCCCTACAGGACATGATTGATTGCAAATGAACTAAGGGCAGGATGAATGTTAGTAGTGTAGAGGAGAGGTGGATGATCTCTTCAAGGCTAAAATTCATTGTTCTTTGGGTGGTCACCTTGATCGCCATGCAAAATCTTGTCACCTTACAGTGATTACTAGAGATGCTGTTAGATGTAAAGATTTTCTGTAAAGCAAACTTTACCTTTGCAAATGTACAGAGTTTTTATTATATGCCCATTAACACCCCAGTCTCTTTTCTGTGACCTTTATGATATGCCTACTGCTTGTAACTGGAAGTGATCATCTAACTTTCCTTTTTTGTTGTCTTTATTAAAAAGGAATACAGCATGAACATATAAGTGTCAGATGCTTTGGGTGCATTTCTGATACCCTCCTGCTTTTGTGCTCTGCAATGGTAATGACCAAATATGCTCATTTTGGAGAATTTTAGGCTATGTGCAGACAATGGAATAGTATGGACTATATAATGCATTCAGATTAGTGGAAGCCACAGCCTGTTCTTAATAAAAGTTAGAAAGGCAGATGAGCCTGAAAATTTAAGTGTTTGAACCCTTAGAGAGTTAGTTTGGTCTTTACCTTTTGTTCTGTTCACAAATGGAGTTCTCCACTGTGACGTGGGCTTGCTATAAATGTATGGTTGCAGACTGCCCACCAATTGGTGAGTTGTGCAGGCATGAAACTGTTCAATAAGCAGCTGACTCTTCAGGGCTGCACACAGACCCTACTATAGACCCTGGAGCTGCTCCATCTCTCCTCCTGGGTCTCTTTTGAGTCTCACAGGCACATCTCAGCTGCTTGATTGGGTATTGTCTGCTCTTCTGCTGGAGATGGTAGGGCTCTAGAGATGGCATCCAAAACCTGATCTTTACTCAACCCTAAGGAATCAGGCCTTGTGTCATAAAGAACACATCCATCAAGTGTTTTGCCCTGGTGTTGGCTGTGCACTGGCTGATGGATGCGTATGTCCCACCAAAGAGCTTTTTTGGTGAATTTAGGTGTGTATGCAAAATGTCCTGGAGCTGCAATGGCTTCCTCTCCTAAAGTCTCTCCTGGTCTCAGCAAGAGTTTTTCTTCTTCCCTCTTCCCTTGCATATGCCCCTGGTGAGAAGGGATGTTTACCAAACAAGTAACCAATGAAAACATCCCTTCTATCCTTCACAGGCAAGTAGGCAGAGTTTTGAAAGACCCTCCTCCTAGCAACACTCTGCAGCCAACACCAATCGAGCAATTTCAGCTGCAGAGAGGAGGGCGCTGCTGTTCAGGAGCAAAAAGGTACTGGTTTGGGCATTTTTCAAGGTAAAAACCATAGAGCTTGGTGGGGACGGAGGGAAGCAGCATTGGGGATGGGTAGGCAGGAGCCTGGGCATTGGAGTGAGCTCTCCTGGAGGAGGAAAGTTGTCAAAGGTGGTGGTGTGGGGTTCCTAGTGGGCTGGGGTGGAAGCAAACTAAGGTACAGTTCTGAGCCTGGTGAATAATGTGGGCATGTCTTGAAAATCGGGTGCTGATGGAAGCTCTGATTTGGGGAGGGAGTGACTGGGATGTCTAGATGGAGAGAGGGTTAAGGGAGGAAGAAAACCCAAGGCATGAAACAGCCTTGAAAGGAGAGTAGGGTACATGCTCTGAGAACCTAGTTTCTGAGAATGAGGAGGGTTGCAGCATGCTCTTCTGGCAGGAGAGGAGGTAAGAAAAAAACACCTTGACGAGATGAGTCAAGGCTTTAGAACATTTCCCTGTATTTAGATGTGTTTAAAAAAAAAATAAATTTCCTTTAAGTTATGTTAAAGGAGAAACAATTTCCTGAAGATCAAGTTACTTGAAAATTTCCAGGACTGAAATAGCAAGGAGAAGCTGGCAGCCTTTTCAGGGGTAGCAGTGATTCGTAGATACCTGCACTGTGGTCATTGGTTTCTGAAACCCCTTGGAATCCTCTCTAATTGTTCAGTGTTGAACTATTGCACAGCACTGGCAAGTGGTGTAGGGGCTTGAGAAGTCCACTCTTTAAAGTCTGAAGACAGTGATGCCCCAGAGAGACCTTGTCTGGTGTCTGGATGCAGACATAGCTTGTGTTCAAGGACTTCCCAGTACTGTATGCCTGCACTGACCCACCAATACCAGGTGAACTAGAAGAATCCTGTGGACTTACTTGACTGAACCCAAGTTAGTGTTGTGACCTGTCAGGGAGCCTGCTTCTGAAAACGTGTGCTGCCTCCACCTCCACAGCAGCTTCCAGCAGTTCCTTAAATCACAGAACTGCACAGTTTAACTGGCTGCCAGCCACTATTGTGTAGTGTCACCAAGTAATTTTTCAGATCTTGACGTCTGAGAGGTGGATACTAAAAGGGTTGTGAATGCAAGTGGTATTAGAGAGCTGATCACTGGGAAAACATTGGAAAATGACCTAGTCCTTGATATAAATCCTTGGTATAAACAATCAAAGTAACTGAGCCATGGGCTTTTATATTTGAAGTAGTTCTATTTATGTAAATTTAAGTTGATAAGCTAAGGATTTGTCTTACTTTCAAGATACACAAGATAAAATCCAAAAGTGTTTCTAAAGCAGTATGAGGCACGTGCATCTGTTTTATCACAGTGGTGGAATAAATGCTTCTAGAGAATCGTCAGCAGGTACTGAGGATAATGAGTCAGGGAGTTTTAAAGAGGCTCTAAAGGGTGAAGAAAATAAAAGCAGAGAAAGAGTTGCTGTCCTGAACCTTAAGAAAATTGCTTCAGCCACCTGTCAGACAGCAAGGGATTTTTTTGTATGACTTAAAAGTTTGAATGTATTTCACAGATTTGTGATCTTTGTGATACAGGTCAAAGAAATTGTCTGTCCCAGCTTCTGTCGTATCTAGAATAATGGGAAGAGGTGGGTGCAACATCACAGCAATTCAGGATGTCACTGGTGCCCATATTGATGTTGATAAGCAAAAGGATAAGAACGGAGAGAGAATGATCACTATAAGGTATAGTATCTAGAAATTAAAGTCTTGAGTAAGTCCACAATGTCATTGATTAAGAAGTTTGTTTGCTTTTTAAGAGGGGACATATTTAGCTTCCTGGTACTAGACTGAAAATATGTTACTGCTGCCAAGATATACTGAAGGCCTGCTTCTTCAAAGACAATCCTTAAGATATGCAAATGTCAAGAAATGTGGAGTAAATATGCACTAGACTTGCAGATCAGTATAAAATGGAGACTATAGAATGTTGCACAAATTGGAACATATCCTTTTGCAAAAGATAAATATGTTTGGTTTTATTCTAGGGGTGGCACAGAATCAACACGATACGCAGTGCAACTCATCAATGCCCTTATTCAAGATCCTGCCAAGGAACTGGAAGACTTGATTCCTAAAACTCATATAAGAACACCTGCTTCAAGTACCAAATCAATCCATGCAAACTTTTCATCTGGAGCCAACACTGCGACTGCTTCAAGCAAGAACTCCTTTCCTCTTGGAGCACCACCCCTAGTCACGTCACAGTCATCAACGCTATCTACTTTCCAGCCTACTAACAAAATAAACAAGAATGTCCCAGCAAATGTGCGCTCATCTTTTCCAGTGTCTCTTCCTCTAGCTTATTCTCACCCTCATTTTGCCTTGCTGGCTGCTCAAACTATGCAACAGATCCGGCATCCTCGCTTGCCTATGGCTCAATTTGGAGGAACTTTTTCGCCTTCACCAAACACTTGGGGACCATTCCCAGTGAGACCAGTTAACCCTGGCAGCACGAACAGCTCTCCAAAGCATAGTCTCCTGGGTTACCCACTTCTAGTTGTCCCATTACTGTCTCCTCTGTAGCTGCTTCTACCCAACCGCTGTGTGTAACCAGTAACCGGACTCCCTCCTCGGTCAGAAAGCAACTGTTTGCCTGTGTTCCCAAGACAAGTGCTGCAGCAACAGCAATCTCAACTGTGACAAGCACCTGTAGCACTCTGCCTTCAGCTTCCTCTGCTTCTCCAAACAACGGGCAAATGCCCGCAGCATTTCTGCCATCTAATGCTCCACAAACGCAGCATTCTGCACTTAAAGCGGACTCTTTCTCAGCTGTCTCAGCACCCAAAGAGAAGGTGTCAACACCAGAGCAACCAGCTGCAAATGTGTGCACCCCATCTTCAGTTGCAAGTAGCTGCATTGTGTCAGCTGGCAGCAACTCAGGAGTCACTGAAACTCGCCCAGCAAGCAGCCCTGCACCACTAAGTAACGTCCAAGATGAAGTACTGCCAACCAGCATGGCAGAGATCAATCCTTCCATGACGATGCCTTTTTCATCCAGCTCAGAAACTGCTCCTTTAAGCTTAGCATCACCCAGGTCAGTTGTTGCAGATAATCAGGACAACAGTAACTTACCTCAAGTCGCTGTACCAGCACCTCGAGTTACTCACAGGATGCAGTCCAGAGGTTCTTTCTACTCAGTGGTACCAAATGCAAACCTCCATCAAGATCCTCAGTCTATTTTTGTTACAAATCAAGTTCCTTTAACACCTTCTCAAGGTCCACCTGCTGCAGTGCAGCTTTCATCAGCCATGAACGTTATGAACGGTTCTCAGATGCACATAAACCCAGCAAACAAATCATTGCCACCTACCTTTGGGCCAGCAACGCTCTTCAATCACTTTAGTAGTCTTTTTGATAGTAACCAGGTGCCAGCTAACCAAGGATGGGGAGACTGTCCACTCAATACCCGAGCAGCAGCTGACCCATCTTTCACTGTTCAGTCTACCTTTCTGAATAACTCTGTGCTAGGACATGTGGAAAATGTGCATCCTGACAACTCCAAGGCTCCTGGTTTCAGGCCACCTTCCCAACGAGTTTCAACTAGTCCTGTAGGTAAGTCATTAAGATCATGCACTGGACAGAATTTTTTCTCCATTATATTTTGATAATCTCAAATTCAAATTAAGATGTAGTTTACAGATTACAATTAGAGAATACTAATGTAACAAGGATGGCCTGTTTTTTTCCAAGTGTTCTTGAAAATGTGTGTTACTTTTTCCTCAGCTCTTCTAGCATGTTAGATGTTGGGAACATGGCAGATGTTGCATTGCTAGTCCTCTGTAAGACACGGGAGTTCTCCCACCTGTTTGCAGAGTTCAGAGTAGCATAGATTTCAGCTTTTGGGTTGGAATGGAGCATAAGGTCAGGTGATAACAAACCTAGAGTAGTGGGGTCAGGACTCAGGACAGGTTCCAGCTGCAGGAATGATTGGATCCCATTGTTCAGTATTTTATCTGAGACTCAAGCTTGACTCAGTAAGGATAAACTCTGTATGTTTTGTCCCTTAATATGGCTCTGGCATTTTAATAAGCTTATGTTGTGCTCTGGGAGATTGGTGTTCTATTGCATGGTGTGTTTTCTTAGGAAGTTACTGTCTTACTGTTAATTATAGCAGTTCAAGCTCATCAGCATTTATTTGAAATGGGTTAGAAATACTCACAGTGAGCTCCCTGCCTTTTCTGTGCTCTGCCTAAAGAAGCACTTTAATCTGGGATGTGTGGAGAATGGATTGAGAACAGCTCTGCAGAGAAGGACTTTGGGGTGCTGGTTGATGAGAAACTCAACATGAGCCTTCAACATGTGCTGGCAGCCCAGAATCCAGCTGTGTCCTTGCCTGCATCACCACCAGGTCAAGGGGAGGTGATTCTCCCCCTCTACTCCACTCTCATGAGACCCACTCCCCCTGCAGTGCTCAGTCCAGTTCTGAGGTCCCCAACACAGGACACAAAGCTGTTGGAGCGAGTCCAGAGGAGGCCACAGAGATGATCCGAGGGCTGGAACAGCCTGAGAGAGTTGGGGCTGTTCAACCTGGAGAAGGCTCCAGCAACACGTTAGAGCATCTTCCAGTGCCTCAAGGGGCTACAGGAAAGCTGGGGATGGACTTCTAACATGGGTTTGTAGTGAGAGGACAAGGGGAAACAGTTTCAAACTGGAAGAGCAGAGATTTAGTTGAGATCTGAAGAAGAAATTCTTTGCTGTGAGGGTGGTGAAACACTGGCACAGGTTGCCCAAAGAAGCTGTGGCTGCCCCTTCCCTGGGAGTGTTCAAGGCCAGGTTGGATGGGCTTGGAGCAACCTGGTCTGGTTGAGAAGTGTCCCTGCCCATGGCAGGGGGTTGGAACTAAATGCTGTTTAAGGTCTTTCCGATCAAACCATTCTAAGAATTATTATCATCTTAGTGTTCAACCCATTTGGCTGGAAGGGATCCTCAAGATCTAGTCTGTGCCAACCTGCTCTCCCCTTCATTCTTGTCATAATGGCTTTTATGCCTTGAAGATGAGTAGCTAGAGGGCCTTGCTTTGAGGTTGTCCTTACTCCTGCAATGTATGTTAGTTAATTGGGCTAATGCTTTAGGACTTGAATGCTGCATTGTGACAAGTCAAGTAGTTTGACTTTCAGACTAAAGAAGAAGGGAGCATTTGGAAGATGTAGTGGTGAGGAAATAAGATTTTCAGCATTCCCTTTCCTCTCTGTTCATTTGCAAATGTGCAGGTCTTCTGAAAAGTAGAGCAGTTCTCTCTGACTAGCTTTAGCTATAACACTGGGATGACAGTAATTTTCTTAATTTGGACTCTCTAGCTCTGCAAAGCAAGGGAATACCTAGAGCTCTTGGGCCACATCCAGTCCCAGCACAGTCAGCAGGACCAGATGTAACTTAGGTTGTGGAAGGTAAAATAACTGGACCTTGTTTGTTAGGCAGGCTGCTAATGAAAGAATTGCCAAACCCTTCTCAGCAGACTGCAGAAACACTGCAGGTTGGCCCAGTGCTGGTTATTCCAGTGTTGCTGGAACAACCCCTGGGGCAGGAAGCTTATGGCAGTTGGAAGCTGCTGATCTTTCTGATGATTGCATCTTACATATACAAAGATAGCTGACTTGACTTCCTATAGCAGTAAAAAATGTTGCTGTTCCCTTACACTAAAGTAATCTGTTTGTCACAGGGAAAAATATCTTGGTCTTTAGATGTCTTTAAATGACTAAGTATTTAAAAGGTAGTCTAAATCTGTTTCTGTTACAATTTCTCTTACTATGAGGGTAACAGAGCACTGGAACAAGCTGCCTAGAGAGGTTGTGGAGTTTCCTTCTCTGGAGACATTCCAAACCCATCTGGATGTGTTCCTGTGTGATCTACTGTAGGTGACCCTGCTCTAGCAGGGAATTGGACTAGATTATCTCCAGAGGTCCTTCCTCTCCAACCCCCACCACTCTCTAATTGTTCCCTGTTTTAGGAAGGTTAGGTGAGTACCTGAGGAGAACTCACGTGTCTGGCTTTGGGGAGATAAGTGTGAATTACTTCTCAACTGAAGCACAAAAATATTTGGAGAGGGTACATTTTTTTCTGAGCTGAAATTTCATTAGGATATTGCCAAGTGGGGAAAAACTGCAAATTGGTAGATGCACTGCTGAGGTTCTGTCTAGCAGGAGGTGACTGGTTAGGCAGGTTCTGAGTTGATACATTTTATGTCATTGTACTTAATACTGCTTTTTATCACGTTCCTTTCAAAGTCTAAATTGTCTGTGTACAGGAGGAAGGGGGTGGCTAGAGGAGTTTGGGAAGAAGGGGGCATTTTGAATGTGTGAGTGTGAGGAAAGGAGCGTGGATGGTAGGCTGAGGACCTCTCTGATGCCTTCTCTTGGAGACTAAGTGTGGTTCTGTGTTCTGTCCCCCCAGCTTATTCACTGGCTTTTCCCGGGGGCCAGACCTTCCCACTCAGCCTCCGAGGTGGGTTGAACTGGAAACTGCCTTGGCTGTTTCCATAGAATTTGGTGGCAGGTTTCATGAGATTTTGAGAGGTGGGAAAAGGGCCAGTCACTGCTGGCTTATGCTTTGGCCAGCAGCAATGTGATGGGCAGCGAGCAGCCTTGCCTGGCAGTTCAGTACATGCTTGAGGGAGCAGTAATGGTCATCAAAGCTGGTGGACACCGATCCCCTTATCTCAGCTGTGATTCTACACCTGATGGACCAGAGGTTTGTCTTTTGTGCCTGTCTTGCACAGTTGGGCTTTGGCGGTTTTTCTATAAAAAACCATCTTGGTTATCACTGTTCAGCTGATTTGGTAAAGATTGAATAGAATTTGTTTGTGCACCAAACCAGCTTTTTCTGAACAAGGAAAATGTCACTCCTCAGGGTGGAATTTGGGTACTCTGCTTTTCCTGTTCATGGGTAAGCTCAGCTGCAGCTTGAGTTTTCTGACTCCCTTTGAGACACAGATACATGTGCTGATCTCACCAGCTGGGGCTCTGTTCTGTAAATCTGTGTCTAAGTTCTCTTGTCCTAGCAGCTTGCAATTGGAGAGCAGACTTAGCCAAATGAGGAGAAGACCAAAAGTCTATTTGTTACTTCTTTCCTCTGCATTTTAAGAAGAGCTTTGAGACATTCCTAATGTGGCATGAAAAGGTATAACAAGCTTGAAATACACCAGCTTTGGGAGCACAGTACCTGAGTATGAAGTTGCATGAAATGGCTTTGGCTCTGTTTTACATGGAGTGACCAAGTGTTGTGGCTGTTTCTCTAAAGGAGGTAGCCCTTGCAGGAACCAGTTTCTGCAGAAGTGCCTGGGAGCTTTGATAAACTGAATTTTGGTCAGAGTTTGTGTGAGATTGTTACAGCAATCTCAAAAGCTCAGTTATGGTTTCAGAGCATGATGAGGAATTTGAATTCCTGGCCCAAGTAACTGCACTGTATAGAATTGCAAAGAGTTTTAGCATTACAAAACCTGATTTTGGTAAGTACATAAATAGGGGGCTCACTACTGAAATCAGAAATGTGTAAGTCATTGTTCATACAAGCCATTTTTAATATTAGCAGAGGGTTTTTTCATTACCTTTGTGAAAAACAAGATAATAATAAGATATACTTTGCAACCTGAAAAATGACCACTCTGTTGAATTTGTGCATTTCTTGCTGTCACACTTTCTTCAACCTGTAGAAAACACATGGCAGTGCTGAAGTGGCCTTGGCTGTGCAGTCACTGCGCTTTGAAAGTGGTGTACCCATCCTATCAAATCTTCAAAAGAAAAATCTAGACATGACTTCTGAAGAATAGCTATTTTTGTCATAATACCTGCCTTGTTCTCTGTTTAGGAAACCAGCAGTTCCCATGAACAGCAGCAGCTCTGTTACTCCTATATGGGGCAGAGACTTGGGAACTTCAGTGGTTTGTCAAACAGCTGGAAACTTGTTTTTGATGTGTGGTGGAATCAGTCACCATGGGAACCTTTTGACCACCTCTTGAGTTGGCTTTTTGTGGATGGAGGGCTAGCTAGAGTGTCCCATTGGTAGCTCTGTGGCAGATGCACAGTGAGGGCCCTCAGCAGGAGGTGCTGTGATGGAGGCCAGTATGCAGCTCAAGACAACCACACACACATCAAACTGCCTTCACAGGCAGCCTGCACAGACATTAGCATCCTGCTCATAGCCAAGCAGCACTTTGTGCTGTGACAAACCCTGGAAGATTGTTCTCCCACACTCAGGTTCTCTTGTCTGAGCACCCTATGCTCTGTTGCTGCTGGTGATTTATTTCTTTTTGTCTTTAATGGAAACTTCTCTTTTTAAAACTCTGTGGTAGGGTGAGTAAGAAAAATATCTCCCAGTCATTTCTGTCAATGTGAGCAGGTTGTATCTGGCACTTCTGGAAGCAGTAAATCAGGTTGAGTTTGTTGATAAAACTGGGGGGGAAAGACCTAGCTTTCAGGAATGTATCCAGGTGATGAAAGTTGCACCTCTAGTCTATGACCTAAGGTATTGCCTGTCACCACTGCTGTTTGCTGTGGTCTGTATGTACAACCTTCAGCCTAGCTCTTCAGCAACATATGCTGGTCCTGGTTGTGGTCACTTTGAAATGTTTAAGTGCTTTTGAAACTAGTCTTGTTTAATAGGCCCTTGAAACTAAACCCAAAACTCAGATGAACGTATGGCCATGCCTGTTTCTGCTTTCAGGTGATAACGTGTGAGAAGAGCTTTTACACCACTTTGGAAAAGTACTTAGAAACTTTGGCTTGTTAAATAACTGTAATTCCCCCTTGCTAATAATTTTTGTGGGACTTTGAACTTTCTTTCCATCTCTCCCTTCCTCTCACATATCCCAGTGGAAGGCAGCCCCTTCTCCTGTTGTGCTGTGAATCTCCAGCCCTGTTTCTCTGGACACAGCATGCTCAGACCAATCTATATGTGAATGTACCTATTGGATGGCAAAAACCATCCTGCAGCAAACTGCTTCCCTGGTGCCAGATTCCCTTGGGACTTTCATGGAGCCCTGTATCTCTGTTTGACTTGCGTGGCTTTTTTGTAAGCAAAGATCCTTGCCACTCCCAGCTTTTCTCTTTTGCCCTCCCTGCTAAGATTGTTTCATTTTAGTGACCAAAGGGATGGCTGTTTTTGTTAAAACTTCAGGCTGAAACAGAGAGCATAAAGATATGCCTTCTGTGGGTTTCTAAGGGAGAATCGTGCACCTGTAAAATGAATTTACCACGTGCAGATACCCCTGAAGGTGATGAGATGCTTTAATTATATTTGGAGCACTAGCTCTCTCTGGTGCTTTGAAGCAGGTTCCCAAAGAGAGATATTTAATCAAATTTATGTTTATTTCAGGCTTACCCTCTCTAGATCCATCCAACAGCTCTACAACTTCTTCTTCAGGTCCTTTGACAGGCTTTTCAGCAAACATACCAGGAGCACGGGTTTACCTTCAAGGGCCAGCGCCTGTTGGGACTCCCAGCTTTAACAGACAGCATTTTTCACCACATCCTTGGACAAGCGCAACAAATTCATGTAGGAGCTTCATGGGTCTGTCTTAGTTAACTATAAATTCATAGCTGTTGTCTTTAGTAGATTTGTAACTTGAGAGGAAATTACCCAGTGATGCACAAAATGCTTTCCAGTTGCTTTTAGCAGCCGTGAGGATGGCGTGCAAATCCAAAGCTGCACTATTTTGTGGTTGTTCCCATGTAAAATGCCACTAGTTCTGTTGCATTATTGAAGGCATATTTGGGAAAAAAAACTCCATTCATCCTAGGCTCTGAGAGGAGAGGACATGAAGCTGTGGGGGAGTGGAAGTGATTATACCAAGCTAAAGATTCCCCTATAGAATAATGTTAGTTGAAACTGTCATATTTGCCATAGTTTGAAGTTATACTTGCCTTTTTTTTCTTTTTGTTTTTGATTTTATTCTGGGATTATTTCATGTAACTTAAAACATTCCAAAGTCTTTAAGGATCATCTCAGGTAACAGTGGGTTTTCCTCCTAAGGAAGAACATGGAAGTAGCTTTACAGAAAATATGGGTCTTTGATTCAGAATTTTAAGTGAAGAGGCTTTTCATGTCACTGCATGCAACCTCATTGCCACTCTGAGCTTAAGAACCAAAATGTTTAAATGAGTGATCAAAGGAAGTTGAATTTCCCAAGAAGAGTCAGTGACGCTTCTGAAGTTGGTGGGACTTACATTCTTATGTTACACATGTGGCTTTGGGAAGCTGTCTAATTTCTCTGCTGCTGAAAGTGGTGGTTACCAACACCAGGCTGTTTAGATATTTATGGTATTTTGGCTCATGATTTCACCTTTTCCTGAAACTCTTCCATGTTTCTTATTCTTTCTTCTAATAAATTTAGATGTACTGCTATATCATGAGAATACCACATGATTCAGATGGCTGAAAGCATTTGTGTTACAATGGTGCTTTTAGAGTTAAAATAAACTCTAAAAAGAATTTCTGTGAAAGACTTGAAGAAAAAGGCTTTAAAACCTTTTAATCATCTGCTCAGAGATAATACTGGGGGGATAGAGAGGGTAGCATTTATGCTCTTAAGCTTCTGTGCTTTCTGTGTGACTAAGCAAGAGAAATATTCTTTTCAACAGGTGAATCTCCTATTCCATCAGTTTCCTCAGGATCATCTTCGCCCCTTTCTGCTGCTTCTGCATCTTCTAACTTGGGCCATCCAAAAGCAGGTAACGCCAGTCAAGATCGAAAGGTCCCCCCTCCCATCGGGACAGAAAGGCTGGCCAGGATTCGCCAGGGAGGATCCGTCACTCCAACACCCTTAGGAACTAACTTCACGGCTCCTGTTGGTCATAGTGGTATTTGGTCCTTTGGAGTTAACAGTGTGTCTGGTAAGTCTCTTGTACAGCCCGGGGTAGCCTAACGAAACTTAGAGGGCCTTCTGCAAGTACTGCATTGTCAACGGGGGAATTTGTGAATGTCTCTTCCCTGGAGGTGTTCAAGAGTGGGCTGGATGGGGCTTGAAGCAACCTGGTCTAGTGAGAAGTGTCCATGCCCATGGTAGGAGGGTTGGAACTAGATGATCTTTGAGGTCCATTCTAAGCCAAACCATTCTGTGATTCTATTAAAAGAAAGTTGGGGAGGAGGAATGAAGTTCCACAGAGTGTAATCAACTTCCATATATGATGTCCTGAAGGGAAACCTGGTGTCATTTGTAGAAGAGTGTGTATCAATGGATGTACTTTGGATTTCTCTCCTAATGTAGGTGGTTTCGCCCAACCTAGATTATCTGTTAGCATACTCTTGTAAAACCCTGAGAACAGTTCTGAAATGTCATATTAAGTCTATTGCATGATACGTAATTGAAAAAGTACACAACTTTTATCTTTAAGAGGGTCCAATTTCTAAGTCTGACCCTTGGCCTAAAAGGACAACTGCCTCCATCCAAGTTTCTAACCTCCTTTCCATTAACATTTTAAAATGTTAGTTGTGGTGCAGCTGGTGCATCCTGAAACAAATAGTTGTGGATGCTGATTTTTGCATTGATTTTATCATGACTCTTAAGTGAGAAGTGTCCATGCCCATGGTAGGAGGGTTGGAACTAGATGATCTTTGAGGTCCATTCTAAGCCAAACCATTCTGTGATTCTATTAAAAGAAAGTTGGGGAGGAGGAATGAAGTTCCACAGAGTGTAATCAACTTCCATATATGATGTCCTGAAGGGAAACCTGGTGTCATTTGTAGAAGAGTGTGTATCAATGGATGTACTTTGGATTTCTCTCCTAATGTAGGTGGTTTCGCCCAACCTAGATTATCTGTTAGCATACTCTTGTAAAACCCTGAGAACAGTTCTGAAATGTCATATTAAGTCTATTGCATGATACGTAATTGAAAAAGTACACAACTTTTATCTTTAAGAGGGTCCAATTTCTAAGTCTGACCCTTGGCCTAAAAGGACAACTGCCTCCATCCAAGTTTCTAACCTCCTTTCCATTAACATTTTAAAATGTTAGTTGTGGTGCAGCTGGTGCATCCTGAAACAAATAGTTGTGGATGCTGATTTTTGCATTGATTTTATCATGACTCTTAAGTATTACAGTGTAACTTCTGTTCCAGACAGTCCTCGTTTCAAAAGAATGACTTTGAAACAGCTGAAGTTTTACTTTCAGTTTCCTGGTAGTTTATGGCTCTTGTGGAAAGGAGGAGCTGCAGCAGTTGAGGTGTAAACTGTTTCCGTTGGCAATTTTAAAAACAAATGTTTAATAGTCCTGTATTTGTATTTTTTCAGTGAAGGCCTGTATAGTTCAATTAACTCAGTGTCTCAGCACTGCTGTGTTTTTTCAAGAAAAGCTTGTGTGTTCTCACAGACAGTGCTTGGAGGTTTATTGAATCTTAGCCATTCCTCTGTGGGCACCCAAAGCTTGCAGTTACTAGTAGTCACCATTATCTCCACACTTGCCTAAAGGATCAAGATGAATGTACCTGCAGATGGCACGTGCATGGCCAGACTTCCTGGCCTCACTGGTCTCATCTTTCCCTGTTTTTGCCTCTATCATAAATGTAACTTTTTTCTGTATTCCTTTGCTGTATGACAGGATGTGGGAACTGGAGGGAAAGAAAGGGTGTGTGCATGTAGCCAGCCTTCTGTAGTTCTGCCTGCTGCAGCTTCCCTGTGAGAGGCCTTGATGCTACAGCTAAGATTGGTGTGTTTGCATTGTTTGTGATGGGCTGTCAGCCTAAAGCTGCTTTGCCTTGGGCTCAGAGCAGATCCCTGAGATACCTCTGGCTGTGTGTTTTCAGGAGGCTTTGGATGGATGGATGTAGGTATGTGCAGCTGCTGAATTCTACTCCAGAATTTTTTTCTTAAATAAATTGTAACCAGCCATTTTCATTTTCCTCCTTTCCAGAAGGATTGTCAGGTTGGTCTCAGCCTGTCATGGGAAATCATCCGATGCATCAGCAGCTGTCGGACCCCGGCACATTTTCTCAGCATCAGCCAATGGAGAGAGATGATTCTGGAATAGTGGCTCCCTCAAATATTTTCCACCAACCTATGCCAAATAGTTTTGTGGATTTTTCTAAAGTAAGTTAAAGAGGGTTGAGTTTAGTTTATAAAATGACCAAGAACTGTCTTTGCTGCATCTCCTGTTTATGCTGTGTGCGTGTGCCTCTTCTAGCATTGCTTGCCCCACCTAGTCATAAACCTCCTTTCATGATAAAGAAATCTCAAATTGCAAAAAGCTGTTCTGTAACTTGCTCTTTCTGAACTGGAGTAGTACTTTAGATGGCCACAGTAAATGCGTAGAAAATCTTCAACTTGGAGTCATGAAGGCTGAAGCTGTGTGCAAGCTTTGCTGAAGGGCAGCCCTGGGCTGCAGTCCTGTGTGCATCAAGGTTGTCACGTGCTGCAGAGGCAGCACTGGGATTGCCATGCACAGCTGCTGTGTCTGGCTTTATGGGGGTCATGTGAAAGGTCTTTGCAGAGGTTGCTGCATCCTGGCAAGGTGTAATGTCAGAAAAATGTGTCGCTGACTTGAATCTCAACCTCTGAAGAGTCACTGTATTCTATACACTGCCTAGGTGTGCAGTGATGCCCTGTTTTCTCACAGTGCCAGGTATTTGCCAGTTGGGGAGCATTACATACAATGTGAACTGCCTCTGTCACCTTTGCAGACAGGGTGCTATCATCTTTAACAGCCATGGTCTTCTTCACCAAGGGTGCTTTTTCTTTGCCCATAGGGCCTACCGATTTCCATGTACGGCGGCACCCTGATACCCTCGCACCCTCAGCTAGCGGATGGCCCAGGAGGCCCCCTCTTTAATGGGCTCCATACGCCAGATCCCGCCTGGAATCCCATGATCAAAGTTGTCCAGAACTCAACGGAATGTACTGATGCTCAGCAGGTAGTGTGTTTGCATTTTTCCACCTTTGATTACTTAGGTCTTTTTACGGTATTGTGCTTTTGTTTTGTTTTGATTTGTTTCTGCATAGGTGACATTTTTCAGTTCTTTGATACTAGGATTGAGATTGTATGACTTTTCCCCTGCAGTTTGTGTATATAAAAAAAATATATGGTGCTACCCATACCAGACCTTTCAGGTAAAATAAGCGGCATTTCAAGACTGCTCATCCAGGTAATCAGTGTTGTTGTGAGAGGGTTAACATTCATACTCAGCATCTTGCAGGTTGTCAGTCAGACTTGGGCCAGAGCAAGAGGGCTCCCAGCCTTGACTGTCTGGTTATATTTTGGAGGAAAGCCTTAAGCTTGCCCTCTAGTGGTTAAACGCTATGTTAAAGGAACCTGTATTTGTTTTCATAATAGAATTGTCTTTTTATTTCTTGCTGTAGATTTGGCCTGGCACCTGGGCACCTCACATTGGAAACATGCATCTCAAGTACGTCAACTGATTTAAGGGGGTCTATCCTTTTTTAGCCTTGTTTGGGAATCTTTATGGTCTTGAAGAACCTTGGGGATTTTTTTAATGTGCCTAACTGAGCAATTTTCTGTGGGCTTTAACAATGGAAACTCAATTGCCCATTGAATAAGAACAAATTGATTTACCTATACAAACTGATTTTGTTCTCCAGTTAGTTTAGCCATTTTGAACTTAAAAATCAGACAAAAGTAGTGCTTTTGGCTAAACACCACAGAGTGCTCCTTATATGCAGCAGAGAACTAGCTGATTAGATGATTCAACCTTTTAGGGTGGTAAATATCTGTATAATTGTTTACATTCTTAAAAGGAAAAGCTAAGTAAATTTCATGTCGTATAGTGACACTACTCTATGTAGCCTGTATTAATGTGAAATACTTCCCTGAACATTCAATAAAAGGTGAACAGTATTTATAGGCTGTGTGTGAGAATTTTGGAAGAGGCTCTATCTTGTCGTCAGTGGCTTCTGTGCCCTTTTCAGGGTCAGGTAATTTGCATGTGGATGCTGTCAGTATTTGGGGGAGGGTTTTGATCTGCAGTTGACAGCAGTATGAGGTCTGCTGGGTATTTCCACAATCCAGTTGTTAGCCTTTTGTTTCTTTGTGTGTGTAAACATGGCTATACATTATTTTTTTCCTTCTGGATTAGTTCTGCTGGTTCTAGTACTCTTTGTCCAGGTAGGTTGCCTGAGAGATTGTATTTTATTCAGGGGCTGGAAATAAGGGCTGATTTGACAATGTGGCAACTGATGGCATCTTAATTTGCAGAGGGTAGGCAGCTTGCAGGTGAATCTGGGGTTTCTTCACCTGACTTGCTGTGACCAGTTGCCTAGGGACAGATCTCAGGAAAGCAGTGACCACTTACTCTAGAGAAAAAACCAATATATTCAATTTGAAGCTTCTTGTAACCCTTTAAATCTGGTAAGAGCTCCTTGAGTCCTTTCTGTAAGGAAGAAAGGGATTTTTATATACTGCTTAAGGTGATACTCATTCTATAAGCAGATGCAGAAGTTCTCCACTTTTCTGCACTTGGACTATGCTCATTTCTGCTTTTGCTCAGTGGCAGTGCAGTAACTACACTGCATTTTTGGTCCATTGCTCAAGCAGGTAATTACAGTGCATGTGGTGTCCAGTTATGGTGGTTTCTCAAACCAGATGTAGACTTCTCCACCTTTCTCCACCTTCTCCAGACAAATCCCTACATGCAGCAGCAGAGTTTCCCCAGGAAAAGCATGAGGAAGGAGTACTGAAAACCCAAATACTGCAGGCAAATAAACCTCAGAAATGCTACTGTCTGATACATGCAGATATTTTTCCTTGTATCTGAGGAAGAAATACAAAAGACATTGAACTGTTGCTGCTCCCAGATAGTGCAAATGCCAGTGGAGAAACACTTGTGTGTAACAATAATTGTGTTGAAAACAGACGGTATTGTAGTGCAATAGGTGTTTGCTGGGGGGGGGGAGGGGGGGGTGTGAGTTGTGGGGAGGGATGAAGGAGGGGCCTGAGGCCCCACCCCACCCACAAGGGCTCCATGGCTGCTGCAGGCACCACCACCTCCTCTTGCCCTATCCCAGGGAGCCAACATCCCCCCATCCCAGAGGGCTACAGCTCTACGCCGGGTGGCACTGTCTACTCCACGACACCAGGGGGTAAGACCCAGCACGGGGACAGGGTTGTCCCCTGAACAGACCACTGGCCTCAGCTGCCCCATGCCTGCCTAATTTAGGCAGCCCTATCCCGAGTGGGTCCTTTTCTGGGCTCTCCAGCTTGCAGCTTGGCCCTTGGGGACATGGATACCTGGTCTGGGCACCAGGTCCAGGCAGACCTATAAGGTAGTGGCTAACCTGGTGGCCCAGAGCTGGAGTGGAACAGGGAGCCCCAAAGCTTTGTATGAAGATACTGCTAGAAGTTAGGACTGTTGTTGTCCTGTGGTACCGGGGGGAGAAGGCAGATGTTGCTGCCTGGGGCGTGCGTTGGTGGCAGTCCTGCTGGGGTGGTGGGTGCAGCGCTGGTCCTTGTAGGGTGGGTTGTGCCTGGGCACAGGGCAAAGTCTGCTCCCACCCGAGTTTACCAGCCCTGCAGGAAGGTACTGGGTGGCATGGCTTCCTCCATGGGCACATGAAGTCTGGCCCTGTGTCCCACTTCACCCCCAAAGCCTTGGGTTCAGCTGTTGAGCAGGTCCTTCTCTTTGCTGTCTGTCCTCAGAGCTGTGTGTGCCCTGTCACTGAGCTGGGCATGTTTCAGTTGAGCCGCAGGCTCCCTTGTGTGCCTTGATAAGCTTATCTGGGGATGGGAGCGGGCAGGGCACAGCAGGCTCAGGGTGTGTAAAGTATTTGTGGGAAGGGCCCAGCCTGGCCAGGAGCTCTGGGCCCAGAGCAGGGGCAGCCAAGCACAGAGGGGTCTGGCCTGTGAGGACAGGCCTGGATGGGTCAGGACAGAGGGTAGTTTGCAGGCTGGTGTAGCCTCAGGGGTCGTGTGCCCCAGATGGGCATGGCTCTGGCACACCAGAGGTGTCCTATGGAACCCAGTGCCTTATCCTCCTGCAGGGCAGCAGAGTGGCCCTCTGAGCTGATGGGAATGGGTCCCTGGGTACAACTCCCCATGGTGCCAGCAGGGGGGCACCCAGCCTGCACCAGCCACCTCTGGGCAGGGTATGCTGGGGACCTGCTTGGTTGCTGGGCTGAGGACCCTGGGGCTGGCCCTGCTTTCCAGGCAGCACAGGGTAGCTACTGTGGGGCATTTGTGTCAAGGCTGGACCCTCCATGCTGTGCCCTGGAAGAGCTCAGGAGTCTCAAGGGGAGGAACAGCATGGGGAAGAGCTGCTGGGCAGGACTGTCAGTCAGCTATGTGGGAAGCCCCACAGTGACTTCAGAGCCAGCTGTATCCCCAAGCCAAGCTGGGTCCCACTCCCTGCTCTGGGCTCAGGCAATGGTGCTTGGAGAGGGGGGCTGGCAGTGCTTGACAACTGCCTGCTTTTTGGCAGGTACCCGCATCATCTACGACCGCAAGTTCCTGCTGGAGTGCAAGAATTCACCCGTGGCCAGGACCCCTCCCTGCTGCCTGCCCCAGATCCCCGGTGTCACATCCCTGGCCCAGTCCAGCCTCGTCAAGCTGGAGGAGCTCAAGGAGCAGAATGAGAGCGAAGAAGCCATGCCAGGTGAGCAGCCCTGGCATGCAACCCCTGGCTGTGCACTGCCTGGCAGAAAGAGCAAGGGGAGATCCTGGCTCAGCCCTGGTTCCAGCTCCTGCCCCCTTTGCCTGCACATTTCTCCAAAGGCAGACCTGGTACACAGCCCCTCCTAACCCTGGCCCTGTATCCCTCCATACCCTTGCAGATCAAGACCAGTTTGAGATGGACATCTGAGTTTCCAGCTCCCTGTTTCCAGATCACAGCTGGGCCTGTTCCTGGGCCTCGTGGAGGTGCTGGCACTGTGACCAGCTGGCTGCAGCCCTCTCTGATGCTGGGGATGGATGTGTGACACCTCAGGCTCTAGCACAACTGGCTGGTGCAATTGCCTAGGAGCTCATGCTTGATCAATAAACAACATGAAACCCTTGTGCTGACCTGATGCATCACTGTGTTGGGGCTCATCTGGGTGCTTGGAGCACTGGGGAGGGGAGCTAAGAAGAGGTAAGCACCACCAGGAGCCCTTATGAGGGTGTTGAGGATCTCTTACTCCTGCATAGAGACCCTGCAGGCTGGGGTGGTGAATGCATGGCCTCAGGGTCTGCTCCCAAGCTTGAGGTGACACATGCAACCTCCCACAGCTGTGGTGGGGACAGCTGCTGAGGCCTTTCTGCAAGTGTGGGAGAGGGCAGCACAGTGCTGTCTGCTTGCTTGTCCAGGGTAAGCATCCTGAGCTTACCTGGCCTGATGGGCATCACTAGCATGGTGATTTTTCTCCTCCCACCTGTCTCCCTGGCCTCACTCCCTCAGGTCTCTTGGGTCTGAGCTGTGCCAGGATGGGCAGAAGCCCAGATGAGAGCATGGTCTGTAGCTGCAACACAAGCCCTGGTATAGCCAGGCTGCTCTGGGCTGGTGGGACATCAGCCTCCCAGCCAGCCTAGCACCCCTCAGAGGCTATCTCCTGCAGGAGAGGTGGGTTGTGTGCCTGCTGCTGGGGTTCCCTCCACTGCCAAAGGCAAGGCCAGAGAGGGCCAGGCATTGCAAACCGGTGCAGCAGGGACACTGCTGCCCACTACCTCTGGGTGATGCTGAGGTGCTGCCAGAGGAATTCCTTCCCTTCGGATCTTGTGGACTGGAAACACCCTGCAAGGGTGGGAGCTCCTCAGACAAGCCTGAAACTGCAGCAGCCTTGCCCAGTAGTCCTATCTCCTGGTGCTCCTGGGAGAAAACCAGGACCTGTTCTGTGCCAGAATCTCAGGGCAGGCTGTGGCCAGGAGTAGGTTAGTGCCATTTATTAAACATCATGTAGTGAATTGCCAATAAAATGCTGCAATGATTAAAATCCCCTTTTCCTAGGTGAGGACTGGAAGGCAGGGGAGGTGTCCAAACCCCACTGGGCAGCAGGGGTCCTTCTGCTGGTGGCCCTGGGCATGGTGCTCACAGTCTGTAGCCCCGTCCCTGGCATCAGGAATCCTCCTGGCCAGGCCCGGCCTCGGTGCTGCCACCCTGCTCGGCAGCAGGCTCGGCAGCAGGCTCTGCAGGAGGCTCGGCAGCAGGCTCGGCAGCAGGC